GCCTTGGATGGTCACTCATTCATTAAAGTCACCTAAATCTTCAACGCTAGGTGTCTCCACCTGAAAAGGCTCATTTTACACACAAATCCCCAACCTGGACTTTCACTTCTCAACACAGCTTTACTAAGTAAAAGAAAATTCTATACATCTAGGCTTTAATATTAAGTAACTCTATTAAATTCCTAAAAATACCTCTTTATTAAAATATAATATATTAAAATATAATATATTAAAATATAATATATTAAAATATAATATATTAATATATTAATAATTTTAATTAATTTATATTCTTTATATAATTATATATATATTTATTATTATTTTAAGTTTTAAATTATTATTTTTTATAATATATTTAAAATATAAATAATCATTTAATTTTAAATTTATATACTTTTATATTAAAAGTCTTTTAATATTTTTATAAAACTTATTTTTATTTTTTATAATTTATTATAATTTATATAATTATATTATTTCTTTATAATATAAAGTTAAAAGATTTATAATTATAATTTTTAATTAATTTTTATTTAACTATTTTATTATATTATAACTTAATTTAATCTTTAACTTTATTTAAGCTTTTTTAAGCTTTATAAAAGTTTTTATTTTTATAAATATAAACTTTAATTTAGAATTTTTAAATTTAAATTTAAAATTCTTATAAATTTTAATATACTTTAAATTACGTTTATAATCCCTTAACTTCTTTAAAAATATATTAACTATTTTAAATAATAATAACTTCTTTTAAAATAAAAATTTATCTTTATATAATTATAAATTTCATTATTAATAACTATTTCTTCTTTTATTTATAGTAGAGTTATTAGAATTATAAACTTAGATATTATATATAGTAATAAAGTGTGGTTACTTTATTTAGTTATCTTTTAATTTAGTAGTATAATAGGTTAAATAACTACTTTTAAGTAGTTTTACTAAAGTTAGAACTTTTAAAGGAATAATAGCTTTTATTTTTATTTATTTTAACTAACTTATATTCATTTAAATTATATAATAATATTATATATAATACTTAATAATATTAAAACTAACTTATAATTTATAATAACTTTAACTTTTAATATATTAATATAAAAGGTATCTTTTAATAATAAATAGTATTATAAATAATAAATTATAAAGTTATTATAAAAGTTTTATATAATAAACTTAATTAAATTAATTTTTAAAAGATATATTATATTTTATTTTTAAAACTTTAATTATTTACTATTAATTTAATAATAAAATTAAAAAAATATAAATAGTTTATAATTTTTAATTAATTTTTATTTAATTATTATATTATATTATAATTAAATTTAATTTAATTTAAACTTTTAAACTTTTTTAATATTTTTTTTTAAAAGTTAAAATATTACATTTTTATAAATATAATATATTTTAAATTAAATTTATAATTTATTATTTTTAAAAATATATTAATTATTTTAAATATTAATAATCTTTTTTAAAATAAAATTAAATTTTATATAAATATAAATTAAATTATTAATAGTTATTATTTTTATTTATAATAAAACTATTAAAATTATAAACTAAAACCTTTTATTATATAATTTTTAAATAATATATTATAATATAATTAAAATTAAAGTAAATATAAATTTAATTTATAAATTTAAATATATAAAGTAGATTTTATATTTAATTTTTAAACTTTAATAAGTTATTCCTTACTTTATAAAAAGAAAGAGTTAAAGTATTTAAGTTACTTTATAATTTTATAATAGCTAATAATATCTACACTTATTTATTTATTAAAGGAAAACTTATAATAATAAATATAGTAAAAACTTTAATAAAGAAGCTAACTTTTTAAGTTAGTTAGAGAGGGTAGCACTAATAAAAGTTAAATTTACACCTTTTATATACTTAAATAAATAAGGGCGGCTTAACGTTTAACTACTATATTATAATACTACTATTAAAATTATAAACTTAAATAATAAAGTATAATTATTTTAGTTAAAGTTATTTTTAATTTAATAAATTATATAATAAATTAAGTAATTATTTTTAAATAATTTTATTTAATAAATATTTATTTAAATAAAATTATAACTTTTTTTAAAAAAAATTATTTTTATTTATTTTAATTAATTTAAAAAGTTTAAACTATATAATAAATTTAATATTTATATATAATATTTATTAATATTAAATTAAATAATTTATAATTTATAATTATTTTAATTTTTAATAAATTAATAATATTAATTTTAAATTAATTAAATATAACTTAATATATTCTTATAAAAGATAAATTTTACTAATAAATAATATTATAAATATAATAAATTATAATTATATTATAAAAAGTTTTATATAATAAATTAAATTAAATAAAGTTTTAAAAAATATATTATATTTTATTTTTTTAAAGCTTTAATTATTAATTTTTAATTTAATAATAAAATTAAAAAAATATAGATAATTTATATAATTATATTATTATAATATAAAATAAATCTTTAATAATAAAATAATATTTATTAAAACTATAAGTTAAACGTCTATAAAACTAACTAATAGGTCTATATACTCTACTTATCTTATTAGCCTAAGTAGCCTCCATACCTCTTATAACACGGGATTATAGCTTTACTACCTCCCCTATACTATTCCTTAAGTAACTTTAGTTTTAAATTAATAATTCTTTATAGATAATTTAAGCCTTCTTTTACTATAAGTTATAAGAACTATTTTAATATTTAAATATTTAATTATTTACTTTAATTTAATTTAAAATATTAAAGTTTAAATATAAATATAATTAATAATTATTTATAAAAAGAAGTTAATTAAATATATATTTATAATAATATTTATAATTTATAATAAAAATAATTTAAATTATTTAAAAGATTTATTAATTTTAAATTATAATTATATACTATATAAAAATATAAATAAATTAAATTAATAAAATAAAATAAATATATAAACTTATTAATTTAATTTTATAAATAATTAAATTATAATATTAATATAATTATTAAATAAAATTAAGTTTTAATTAAATAAAAAATAGTTTTTTAAAATATAAAAATAAAATAATTATAATTATATATTTAATTATTTAATAATTTTATTATAAAGTTTTTAATTTATTTAAAATAAATATTAAATTTTATTATTTTTAAATATAAAGTTTAAAAACTTATAATTTATTAGTATAAGTTATTATATATATATATATATAAAGAGTAGTTTAGTTAGTTAAGTTAGATTATATAGAAGGGAGGAAACTAGGCCTAAAGGGTTAGCGATAAGTCCCTCATTAAAATCTACTAACTAGAGTTATATAACCTAAACTATCTACTAGTTATAATTACCTTTATTCTTATATAATTATAATCTTTTTAATTTTCTTTTATTTAATTAAGTTTTATATTTATAATTTTATAATTTTATAACTTTATATATTTAAAAATAATTATTTTAATTTAATTCTTTAATTAAAATTCTTTTTAAACTTTATTAATATTATTAAATTAAACTCTTTAATTTTATTAATTTTAAACTTTACTTTAATATTTAATTTATTTATATTTAAGTTAATAATCTTTTAATATTTCTATAAATATATTAATTATTTTTAATTTAAATAACTTTTATTTAATAATTAAATTTAAAAGTTATATTTATTTAAATATAAATTTAATTATTAATATTTATTTTTATAATTATAAAACTATTAAGTTTATATATTTAAAACTATTTATAATAATTAAATATAATTATTTTATTTAATTAAAAGATTTTAAATATATATATTAAAATTATTTTAAATAAAAGTAAACTTAATTTTAATAAATTAATTAATTTAAAATCTTCCTTTAAATAATATTATTTTAATTATATTAATAAATAAAGTAAGTTAAATAATTACTTTTAAATTATCTTATAATAAAAAGTTATATTACTTAGTTTTAATAAATAATTATACTTTTAATAAACTAAAATTAAAACCTTTAAAGGTATAATAACTTTTATCCTTATCCATTTTTCTAACTCACATGCAAGCGTCCCGTGTCATCAGCTTACCCAGCTCACCGGGGCCCGTAAAGGTGTGTATGCGAACTGATAATGGTGGTGTATACCGATGCGGTGTCATTGGATGGTAATGCAGATGGCCTTGCACTCAGCAGCTGCGAGTTTGAAGCGCCCTTCACCTGTATCCTGCCGTCGCGCTTTTCTGCAAGTTCATGCAGCTTCCTGGCCAACGCGGCGGCCATGTCGACCCTCGCTCACGTGTCTACCCTAAGCGACGGCAAAGGTACTGATTGGTCGCTCAACCCACCCTGACGGCCTGAGCATCTCCTGTCATCATGACCCCAGGGCACACTGTTTCCGAGCTCGCTAAAAGGTCCGTTGGATCGTCATCTGCTTGTACGCCACTCTCGTCTTAACGTAGACATCACTTGTGCACCGGGTTCGAGAAGTAAGTAATGGGACATTTGTCACAACCCTATACATGCTTGTGATAGTCTGGAATCAGACCGTGAGATCTTGACACATATGTCCGTGAGTGTTTTGAATGGCGTGTAAGATGCACATTGCACGACGATCAAGACTTTCAACGGTGGAGGCGGCAGAGAGGCGCCGCGTACGTTTTATATGCATTGGGATTAGTAATAAAACAACTTGAATTATGCTGAATAGAGTGATCGCACCTTTCTATATGTTTAAGGGGTAAAAGAGTCTTCCTGAGGAAGTAATTCAATATGAGTGTGAAAACGAATATGTGAGGAGCATGTTATTCATTTTAAGGTGATTTGATTTTCAGAACGAGGATCTACTTCACGTCGTATTAGGCATTTGGTAATGCTGTTAGTTCACGGAGCTGCCCGCTTCAATGTTGACAAACAAGCGACGCAGCACGAGCGATTTCAGTGGGTCCTGAGATTAATGTACGTATTTTGTGGGTGTGGCCGAAACTGAGTTGTATGCGTTTGTGTTCTTTAGGTACTGGTATATAAAGCTCTGTCTAGAACCGATGGCCAAAGGTCAGGCAGTGAGCTATGCCATGATCCTCGCCAGGTGATGATACCGTCCGGCCTCAGAAGAACCGCCTCATTGCCGTCCAACAATCGGGCCCATTCTCCGGTAGGCTCTGTCCAGCAGTCTCCTTTATCAGACTTGCTGAGCCGTTCCATGTGCACCGTGCGGGCCTCGAGAGAGCTCCAGACAGGCTGTTCGTCAACCAGCAGCAGAAGCTTGCCCAACGGAATGAGACCTCGGAGAGGTAGTTCCTGGCCACCCTTGTAGACCCAGACGTGGGGAAGGTTGTGCCCCGGTATTGTGGATGGCAACAAAGCTTGTGACATGAGATTGCCATTTTCAAGAAGATGGGGCGCGTGGTCTGCTTCGGTTGCACCACCTAGGCCCGGGTAAAACCAGCCGAGCTCCAGACCAGGGGCCTTGAATTCAAGGTCAAGCACTTTGGAGGCCTGCTCGACCGCTGATCTTCTGGTGGCATGGTCTGGGTGCGACTGGTCAAAGTATGCCATTATGGCGGATCGATTATCCCTTGGGCATTGCTCGGGTTTGATGCCGAGAGCTGCATCCATAACCAGGGCGTGGCTGCGTAGGTTGTGCAGACTCGATTGTCCAACTCTGTGTCCCAGAGGGCGCCTCTCTGTGTCGTAGCTTGTGAGGAGCTGGGCATACTTTTCCTCGTCTTCCAAGGCCATTTGAAGCTTCCAGACGAGGTTCTGGGCGTCTTGGATGCCGGTGTTCATCCCCAGCGCACCCCACGGAGGGATCCTGTGCGCGGCGTCGCCAGCCAGGAAAACCCGGCCCTCTCTATATCTTCCCGCCGACACAGCCTGGACAGTCCAATGGCTCAGGCTTATGATCTCCACAGGAAGGTCGCCGAGCTTGAGCGTTTCCCTCAGGCGCTTGAGCATGTCTTCGCGCTCAAAGCGCACCGGATCATTCGGGGCTTGAGCACAGGCGAACACCCATTCCTCGCTTGCCTCTGCTTCGAGACTATCAAACGGCCACGGGCCAATCTGATACAAATATCCGGTGCGAATACTGCCTCCAGCATCAGGATGTGAGAACCAAGTAATGAAGTTGCGCGGGTCTGGATGCCGTTCGCGAATTTGTGCGCGGAAGTGCACTGATGCCATCTCGAGGATGTCGCGCTCCCCTAACCAGCTGATTCCCAGCTTGTTTGTGATATCACGCCCTCCATCCGCCGCAATCACGAAGCGTGCAAGAACCTCACTCGTAACACCGGTCGCCCTCTCCAGCACCTTCAGCGCAACACAACTACCCCGCTCTTCCAAGCCTGTAACCTCAGACCCGAATTTGAGGCTTCCGGGACTGAGACTTTCGGCCGTACTAACCAGCAGCGGCTCCAACCGTATCTGCGGCAAAATTTCGTACCTCGCAGGACTGTGCCTCTCGTACTCGTCGGCATACTGCCCACCGCCCCAGGAATCCCGGCTCCAGATCTCGCGACCGTCGACAGCGTTGCCGTCTTGGTTCCCGAGGCTCGTATACCAAGCCGTGCGGGACTTGACGTCGTCAGGGCAGGCAACCGCTCGTATTTGATCATAGACTCCCATGAGCTGGAAAATCTCGGTGGTTCGCTGGTTGATCCCGCAAGCCTTTGGGTGGATAGATGTGCCCGCATGTCGCTCGAGCAGGACATGTGGGATATTGCGAAGCGAGAGCAAAATGCTTGCACTCAGGCCAACCGGACCACCGCCAATGATGGCGACAGGATGCACCGTTTGGTCAGATGAGGCAGACATGATATCTCAACAGGACATATGAAGGCAAAGATTACAGTTAGTAGATTGAGAATTTGATTGTCTTGTCTAGAGCGTTGAAATGGGACCGGAGGTTGACTTCAGCAGAGGTCGGGGTGTAAGTATGCGGCTGAAGTTCGGGCGGGCAGGTCACACTTCTGGCTCGCGACTCGGAGTTTAATTGGCCAAAAAAACACGCAAGCAGTACACAGTAGGCTTATCTGAAGGCCATGAACTATTGATCGAGCAAAATTTCGGCCGACTATGAAAGAATCGAGCAGGTGGGATCCTAGATCACTCACCTGGGCACTGATAGACTCAACTCAAGTGCTTGTAACACCTATTTCACACAAACATGGCCCTTGCAAGCAGTCAGTATCCTCCACATATGCACTTTTTCCTGATCAAATTCGTAAACTGGGGCAATGTAGAGAATCACACAGCACGCAGTGGCCTTTCACGACTTGCACAAGCTCTTATTTGAGCCAGAAAGGAATTTGGAATTTGTTAGAATATGTACAAAGGAAGAGCACAGGAGCACTATCTATGCACAACTCAGCCCAACCCAGACAAGCTGAAACAAAATGGGTGGCCCGAACCACTGACTAGGTAACGTGATGGTGTTCCCAGACAGATCATAGAATCAGCCTATGCACTTAGCAGCCAACCTGGATAGCTGTATCGAGTAAGTTAGCGTCTGACAGCACGAGACCGGTGTGGGATAGGGACGCACCATTGGCGTACAGCGCGTAGCTGTCAGCGTTGTTCAGGCTCTGAGCGGACGACAGCCCCTGGATGGCTTGGTAGCCGTAGCCGTTATCCTGTGTGCCCTTGATCTGGGTCAGGTGGGTGGTCTCGTGAAGTGTGGTGGTGGCCTGGTCCTGGGCGTGGCACTGGGTGCTCAGCGCAGTCAGGGCGCTGAAGTACAAGTCGCAAGAGACCATGAGGCTACGGGAGGGGATTGTGTAGGCGAGGACGTTGCTCGAGCAGTAACCGAGCGTGTCTGTGCAGTACTGGGTGCTGACACCCGACGTGGTGCTACCGCACTCGGTCGCGACCTTGTTGAAGACACCGGCGACAGTGCTGCGGGTGGCCGACGTCGATGATTTGAAGTACTCGGTCAGCTTGTCCGCAGAGCCGTTGGTGGCGGCGGCGGCGGCCTTCTGAGCCAGCGAAGCGCAATTGCTCAAGGCAGTGCGCTGCGCGGTCCCACGTGTTCCTGTGCAGTCGGACTGAACCTGTGTCCGCTTCAGGTTCTCGTGAAAGTCACGGCGGACCTTGGCCGCGGCAACTCCATCGACGTGGTTTGCCAGAACGTTGCTGTCGAAGGGCACCGCGCCATCAATGCTGGTGCTGTCCGCGGACGCAGTCAGGAATGTTCCGCGGACAAGGAAGTCAAAGTCACCACCGGTGCTGAGATCATGAACCTCGGCAGGGTCGAACTCGGCCTCGACACTCTCACCGGCGGCCAGTGTCTGGAAAGCATCCTCAGCCACGTTGCTGGTCTGGAGCTGGAGACGAACGCCATCAAAGGCAACCTGGTCAGCTGGATGCAGCCTGTTAGCTCATCCGTGCGGACAAAAACACTGTTAATGCAACAGAACCCATCATACGTGTAAAGGGCAGGTCAAGCGTTCTCGGCAGGTCGTACGAAACTGCCGTGGCATGATGCTGGGCAGAATCATAGACCACGGCCCCGCAGTATCAGAGAAACACTTGGTGCATCTCGCGACAAGGGTTGCTGGGTTCAACCATGACACAGGGAAACGGAAACGTACCACCAGAGAAAATCTCGGCCTTCTCAACGGCAGTCTGGTCCAGAATGGAACCAGTCTTCATCAGCTTGATGGGCTCAGAACCAGTGTTGGTGACAACGGCCTTGACTGCAGAATTGCCAACACTCTGGATCTCAACCTTCAAGGGGCTGTCACGCCTGGTGACCTCCATCGGGACCGCAAGAGCGGACGCAACAAAGGAGAGGCCGGTGAAGAACTTCATGTTGACTGATGGCTACTGGTTGAAACAGATACTGGCCAAGTGAAGGATATGCTTGCCTAGGTGAAGGTGCCGAGGAAGGAATGTGAGGTGAAGGAAGGTATGGGATGGTAAGATCAGATGATGGAGTCTGGGTGTTGTCCCATTCTTTATATTCAATTCTCCCGCCGCCAGAGAATATCTGTAAGGCGTGCGTACTTTTATTTGAGTGGGTGGTTAAACCTCTGACATAGCGAATCTAAGCCTGAATAGGGGAGTGACATAGAAGCATCGCCCAAAACACGGCAAGGAATGCGCCCCAAGCCGGGCGGGAGTCACAAATCAGGAAGCTGTGGCCATTGTGCACAGGGTCCTGTGGCGGCTAACGGTGCCATAAATGACGGTGGCGAGCTCCTGCGGACATTTTGTGAAGGAGTGCAGATGGTCTCTCGGGGAAGGGGCTGCAGGTTGTGGAGTGTCAGTGATATTGCGGAGGCGTGAACGGGATGTTTGGATGTCGGGAACTATAGAGAAGGCGACTTGATAGGACGAATATGGGCTGCGTTTGTCATATACTTCAAGGGTGGCCCCTGTACGCATATAGGGTCAGTGTTAGGAGGCGGACCAAGGTCGCAAGAAGCCAAGCCTCGCGATCTCTTTGACGCCTTGGAAGGGGTGAAGCTTTCTTGGGGAGTAGCAGCTAGTCTCCAGTGCCGGATTGGCATGCATGTGCATGATTAGTGTAGTTACGGAGTAGCTGCTCGTAGTGGTAGGGTTTGGGTGAAGGTACTTGACGATGAGGGCAGAAGAACGCTGCAGCTGAAATGTCGAAGGCCTCTGCGCCTGGGATGTCGACGAGATCCCTATCTCGTGCGACATGCTGAGGACTGATACCGATTACCTTGTGCCCCATGACCTGCACCCATCGCAGGAGCGACGATGCTTGTTTCAGCACGGGAATACAATATTTCATTCACAGAATGTTTTACCAATAATAAGCTGTTGTAATTTCTCTTTCCTGTGGTTGTATCCTGGCCGGGCCGAATTGCTTTCCGAATGAAGAAGGCATCGTAAGGCAGACAACGGCTGTAGCCCCCCCAGGGAGCAAAATGCTGCAGTAGGCCTGTGCTTGCTTTTGGTTAGCAAGCCCCTGAGCCACGATGATGAAGGGGGCCGTCTGAAATAGAGTACCATGGAGTCCCGGGGTGGCGAGGACATGGTTCGCAACCACCCCGGGGGCCTTGTGAGGATTGCTGTGGTTCGCGGGCGCGGGTCCATGATCCCGGTGATATCTCCTTGCTGGCTCTGATTGTTCCGAGTCGGCGACCGAGAAGTGACCTGCATTCCCGTTCTCCACTTGAAGTGCCGTTTTCAAGCGGGCCCTGCGGGCCAGGGGCTTGGGATGTTTGTTACCCGCTTGCCCGCAAAGCTTGACAAGCACCAGGCTGGATCATTTCTGAAGAGCTTGCCAGACTTCTGTTGACACCTTCCGCAAGTTGCAATGATCTGGGAGAACAGATTTTGTGTGAATCTTGCAGGGGCATGAGGTGGCAGGGTGGACGCTGTCGTGACAAGAGTCTCGACTCCAGATCCCCGTGACAAAACAACGGCCGTGTCTTAGAAGTCAGGCGGACGATAGAGCCTCAAGAAGCTCGGGTATAAGCTTAATCACGTTTACTCCGTACATCCCACGAGTGCAGGACCCCTGGCACTCGGGAAGGCCCAGATAGAGTTCCCAGGGCCGGGGCCGGGAACCCACCCTTCCCACTCTGAGTTCTGGTGTTTCTCCCCACTCGCACAAATTGTAGTGGGTAGTTCTTCACGTCGTTCTTCACAACTGGCCAGGAACAAGCCCCCTTGTCTGCCAACCAAAGTCCGGGCCCGGCATTGCATAATGTCCCAAGCTCTCGGCGCCAAGCCGCCTCCAGGGGCCGCCTTCCTACAGCGGCCTGGGCTCGTAGCATCGAGCCCAGGGGAGAGACGCTTCTCCCCGCTGGAACCTACCACAAGGCCGCTCTCATGGGCTCTAACGCTGCTTGGCAGTGCCACTTAAGCCTCATCTCCACATGAGTCTGCCTCAAACATATTGTCGGGCGGCCAATTATCACCACCGGCGGCTCTCGGGACTCGTCTCCCCACACAACACAAGAAACACCGCAGTAGACTTGTAAGTTTATGCAACATGTGGATTCTGTCCACGTGCTGACGTGTAGACAGAGCACCGTGGTAGTGGACAATTTTGCTGCATGCGGGGTTGCTATATCGGATTGGATGAACATTATGTGCTCGCAAAGCCGTGGGTCTCATTTGAAAGTGGCCGAGGGTGAGCTTCCCCAGTGGCGAGGCGTTATCAGATCACTTTTCTTGACTATTTATTAGCATGGGTGACGGTATTAGGGTGGATGGGGAATTGGGAACTTTATTGCCAGTGTGTCTATGCAAGTCTTCTTCTGCCAACTGAGTTTGCTTGTGGAGTGTCAATTTTCAAGCATTAAACCGGAAAATTTGACGATGAATGTACGTGGTTGTGTTGCAGCAGAAAGTCGCCGAAGTGGACCTGGGAGAATTTTCAATCAGGCTATCTCATGGCCCTGAGAGCTATGTTGTTAAACGTATGTCCTGCCAGTGGTTTGTACCAGGGCAGCAACCAAGACTGGTAACAGAACCCTGTAACGTGCGAGCCTATCCTGTCTACCCTACCTACCTAGGTAGGGTACATCGTGATGTGTGCAGGCACATTCGGTGCGAGTACCATCGAGGCTTCAAGTCGGCCAGGTCCTGACAGGCAAGACGATGCCCACCTCACATGCAGGCTGTGGGCATTGGGCCAAGATAGGGCATGGTGCGGGGTTGTCCCGGCCCAATTATCAGTCTGATCCGAGGTAAAAGTTCTTAAATGGTCGGCGCATTTGTTGACCCCTTTTCAACCCAGGGTGCGTCAGATAAGGTATTTTTACATAAGGGATAAGACAGTATCTCGCATCCTCATCACCAAGCCTCTGCCCGGATTCAGTCAACCAGATTCACAAACCCTCACGACGTAGCACCAGTTGAATTCAGGAACTTGTTGATCATATTTCTGTGCATGTGATGCGCCTGCTAAACGCATGATATTGCTCCACAGCAGCCTCCTCACACAATCACACTACTTTAGGGGCCTGAGTGATCCACCAGACCGCCAGACAGCGTGACGTCACTCCCAGCACAATCGCCAATGCCTGGTCAAAGACAGTTCACCTTCCAGACCATCTTCACCGGCCTCTTCGTCTTCGGCGTCCTAACCTTTCTCTACCACAACCTCGACCAAGTCCCAACCTCGTACAAGATGGCCAGTCAAGATAACGAAGTCCTCTCACAGCTGCAAGTTTCGCTTAGCCAGGCGTCCAAGTCCCCACCAACGGTCTCGGTCAAGGTTACCAACAAGTCCCCTTCACCCGTCACAATCCTCTCGTGGGAGTCACCACTGGACGAGCTCGCCCTTTCCCTTGGCCTGTTCAGCATAACGCCTTCGGGTGCTTCCGAGCCCTTGGAGATAGACCGCATTATGGTCTCCCGCAAGACGCCGCCCAGCGACGACTCGCTCATTAGCCTGGCTCCCGGGGAGAGCCGGGAGAACCAGGTGGTGCTCAAGGAGATACTGGTGCCGGCCGAAAAGCTGAAGGGCAAGAAGTCGACGGTCGCGGTCAAGGGGCGTTGGATGGGGGTTTGGCCACAGCCGAGGGGTGAGCTGAGCAACGATGCGATCGAGAAGGGGGCGCACGGCGGTGGTGCGGTAGCTGGGACATTTGCCTCGGACAGCATCGAGATCGAGGTCGATTGAGTGGGCTCTTGTCCATGTCCAGATCAAGATGTGTATAGCCCTTTAGTCGACACGCAATTCCACTCGCTTCATGCCGCTCCTCGTGGGTATTAGAAGTAGACGCATGGTTGGCTTTCTCCGGCCGACCAGTTATGACCACGCGCCTCATGTTGTGCATGAGGGTCTCTGATTGTCCGTCATTTTCCGCCTTTTGCCTTGTCATTGTCTACCATCGACGAGATCTTGTCCATCATGGGAGGCTTTCCCAGCGTGGCAGGGTCAGGCTCTGGGATGCCACACTGCACTTCCACGCTGCGCCAGTGGCCCCCGACCGCCCTGTCCTCGACCATAAAGGCCGCTGTATTGAGGTAATTCCTGCAGTTCGTGTCCGCAAATACCTTGGCCGCACAGCCGTCCACCTTGTTAGCCATGAAGTTGGCACACCCGGAGTATTGCTCGCCGGGGAAGTTGTAGCACTGCGCCAGGCCGGGCTCGCCCATCCCAGCCGGCTTCGGGAGGTTGATGACGGCGAGAACGTGCCCGCGACATGTCTTTGGGCCCTCGGAGCCGCTGTAGAACACTGCCTTGATCGGTATGGTGGGTTCGGGGGGCTCTTCCTGTTGTGCAGGCTGCTGGGAAGGTTTTCCCTGAAGAGATGCTTGGCCGTTTTTATCCTCAGCCACGACGTCCGCCCCAGGAACGTCCAGAGTCACGTTGCCGTTATTTCCAGCCCCTTGTACATCGACCGCGTTGCCGTCGTTCGTGAGAAGCCCTTGGTCGCCTTCGATCTCGGTCTTGTCAGGGCCCACCTCTAGCATGATGCCCTTGTCGGTTTCCACGATCTTGGGCCTATCGGCAGGTTGCTCCTCGATTGCCTGCTTCAGAGACGCTCCAGTCGTCGCGCCCAAGAAGCCCAGCGCCGGCCTAGCCGCCAGTGTCGCCGTGATGTAGAGCGTCGCAACTGTGAGGAACAGGGCGACGAGGCCCACGAAGAGAGCATTGCGGCGCGCCCACTGCCTCAGCCGGGCACTTCGGGAAGGCGGGCTGAGGACGAGCTTCTCGAGTTCGAAGTAGTCGGGCTCCAGCTCGAACGAGTCCGGGTCTGGCAGCGTCGGGAGCCGTGAGTACTGTGCCGACTGCATCGCGACAAGAGATGATCACATAAACTTCGTTCTACTGCATCTCAGAACGTGTGGATTCGATTGTGTCGTCGGCGGATTGCTTGAGATGCTTGCAACTTGAAGTTGGTACTGTTGGCATTCGCTTGTCTGCAACGAAGCGAGGACTAGCCAAGCGCCAAGCTGTTTCAATGCTGCTCCCGAAACGGCCGTCGGGGCCAAAAGCGGACGCCGCATTGACACCCGGCGCCACCCGGCGCCACCTCCCGACCTCGAGTCCGCGCTCCGGGCTATTTCGATGGTCTGCTGGGCCCGGATAGGTATTGCAAATATGTACCTAGGAGAGGAATAAACCATGAGAGAGTTCCAGTCGTTTTTATTGAGTATTAGAGAGCCTGCAGCTATCAAACATTAAAAGAATTTGGCTATTGCAGTTTGGCTGATCGATTACCGATAGAGACTTGACATTGCGCAACAATAGTTTGGTCCAAGGTTCCTGTTTCGAAGAATGAGCAGTCTGGTGCTATTGGGTCAGTGAAGTATCATTGGTGCTTGATAAACGGACTGTTTCTCAAGATGGCAGGCTGTGAGAGGTAGTGCTGCAGAATAAGTATTACCCGTGCGCGAAAGGTGACTTCTACACATAACACGTAGACGAGGATGAGATCTCCAGTGCGTACTTTCCCACAGATACCCAGGGACTTCATGCCGGCAAAGAGAATACAGTTGATGCTCAGCCAACTACACAAATTCAGGGGCCGCATAGTAAACCTAAGCTTGAACAGTTGAGGAAGCAGGTTTGTTGTCGTTTCCTTATACCAAGGCTGGGTTGGGTTTGCTATTCTGGACATACTAGAGTTCCTGTCACAGCGGATCTGATGCGCGAGGATGATCTTTAGCTGTGTGAGCATATCAGTGTATAACAAGTACATATTTGCCGGCGGTGTTGCTCAATCAGGGGCTAGCTCCTCTCTACTTGCCAACTCACAAGTTTTAGTGCATCGATCGCATCAAAGGGTCACTTAAGTGGCAAACGTCAGGTATGAGCGAAAGCATTTAACGTTCTGAGGGCGAAGAACCCTATCGCGAGACTATCTGAGAGCTTCCGTATATGGCAAATCGGTAGGCTTATGCTAGTATAGGCAATTCTGGGATCCATTTACCCAGGATACTCGCCACTAGTCGAACAGGACATGACATCACGAACATGTAGATCTTCAGGTTCCCTTAGGCAATAGCCGTAGCAGCTTCAGAAGCGGCCTTTCCATCGGCCCAGACAACCTCTTCTGCATGTACTACCTCTGCTTCCTTCTTCTCCGCCTCACGACCAGCACGACCTACGCATACATACTGGCGGAATTTTTTGGCGGGGAGGCGAGCTTCGAACTATAAGTGATGGTGGGTCAGTCATCGCGTCTTGTCGCCAAGTCGATACAGGGTCAAGTTTTCACGCTTACCATCTCATCAATTTCCTCAAGTGATCGATCCTTAACTTCGGGAAGGAAGAAGTATACCCAAGCCCTTTTACGTGTTAGTATCTCGTCCAGAACCTTGGTCCGGGTAGGGGGGTGGGAACTTACGCAGCGATCCAGCAAGAGGGCGTCCAGATATAGCCGTACTTTGGTCCCCAATTGAGCGACTCAGGGTTGATGAAGTACGGCGCAGTGAATGTCGCGAGCCATGCAGCGAAGAAGCCGACAGCTGTGGCCAGGCCGAATGTGTACGACCGGAGTCGCTGCGATGGTAACTCTCCACCCGAGATCCAGGCATATGTGGCAACCATCCCCTGAAGTTTGTCAGCGGGTGAAAGCTTAGAAGGCCCTACGGACTCACATTGTAGCCGAATATATATATAATCGCAAGTGCAACTATTCCCTTCCCTGTCGACTGAGTTCCGGGTCGCACGGTGTAAATCACGGCTGTGAGAAGCTGAGATAGCCCACAGATGAACAGCCCAATGGTGAGGAAGACTCGCCGGCGACCGATGTGTGTGACAACAGCACTGTTGAGTATGATAGCGAAGACACCGACAGCTGTCAGAATGCACGAGTTCTCGAAGCTATTGCCGATGTTGGCCATCTCGAAAAAGTAGGTGCCATAAGCTAAGGCGCGTTAGCCAAGTTCGCAGCACGGGATCAGGCGTACGCACCAATCATGTACATTGCGCCAGAGGCACCTTGAAGAGTTATGGCGCAGACTGCGAGGATAGTCCTCCTGCGGTCGATCGGATGTGTCCACATGTCCTTGATAGCGACACTATTCTTTTCCCTCATCTCTCCTTCCAATGCTTCCTGCATGTCTTTGAGTTCTTCTTCTGCTTCCGCCTGGCCATACGGCCGGTGCCACAGGAGGGACTTGAGGGCTTTTTCCCTATGGCCGTGTTCAAGAAGCCATCTGGGTGACTCGGGTACCAGCAGGAGGCCGACGGACATTATGACGGGAATGATGTATATCAACCCAAGCGGGATCAGGTACGACTCGCGACTCATGATCTTGGCTGTGAAGTTGTCGACTATGGTACCAATTAAGGATCCGACTGACGTCCACACCTGGAATGACGAGATCATGAGACCTCGGTATCGTGCGGGAACAGATTCCTATTTGTGTTTACTATCAGCTGTACTCTCCACCAATACCTTATGAGTAAATTATTTTGGGGCAATCACCTGAATGTAAAGCTGCGAGAATGTCATAAAGAGACCATTGGCAAGACCCAGTAGCAGACGGCCTATGTATATCGCGTTGATATTTGTCGTGACCATCATGATGACGTTTGCAATACAGCACAAGAGGCTGGCGGACCAGATACTGGGCTTGCGGCCCATGAATGAAGCAATAGGCCCTGCTGTCGACGAGCTCAAGAACGCGCCGAGGGTCATGAGAGATGAAATGAGCTGTTGACGCTCGGTGGACAGGTTCCACCCCAATGGGGTCTCTGGTGCTTCATGCCCGAAGATCTAGTCGACGTCAGAAGGTGGTTGGGGGCACGGAGCTTTGACCGAGTTATGGGAGGCTTTCGCGATGCTATATACCTTCAGGAAGCCAATCATGGCTTGCAATCCTCCTATAAGGCCAAAGTCCAGCCCTTATCCTCCTGGTTAGCAGATTGTTTGGGTCTAGGGCAGCGCGGCGTATTGGCGTAGAAACATACCATATTGGAAAGGGCACATAGACACAAGAGTGCAAGCTGCAAGACATTTCCAGTGGTCCTTGATTGAGTAAGTTCTTTTCACTTGATTTGGGTTCGGGCTGCTCAATCCATCGCTGGAATTCGTTGGCTTGGACTCTATGGTCTCGTTGGTCTTCATGATGAACGTGCCGGAGGCGTGACGGCGCCGAAAAATCTGTGGGAGGGGAAGGTGATCTCAGGTATTGATTGGGAAGACACGGTCGAAAAGGAAAGGAATGCTACATGTTGATAATCTTGGAGAAACCCTGAGAGGAGCCAGGCTTCATATTTACGGCCCAGTAGCGCTCGAGCCTGCCGCAGGTATATACAGTAATGCGACGTCGCTGGCCTCCTCCAGGGCTCCTGGCTGCCAGATTGGTCTCCTGCCATTGATCCAATATGATTTTCGACGGCACAGCGCATTTTGCCGTCACATCCCAGCTGCTGGGCAACTGGTGGCGTGCTGAAGCAGCGACGCGTGAGATGTCACGCCGGAGACCATTCTTGATCTGGCGCCGACCAAGGGCCTGGCCAAATGGGATAACTGCCGGCCTGCACACTTCCTGCGGTTCTCGATTCTCCACAGATCCACGTAGAGTCTGGGGTAAGTCCCCGCCCTGATCAGTCCCATCTTAGTCTATCCGAAATCCGGGGTAGCTTCGCAGGAGCAAACAAGGGGTGCCCTGGATTGCCGACCTCTCCCACGCCTGTTCTGTAGGCATGCTGTGGCAGTATTATGGGGTCAAATTCAAATCGTCTAGCAGCCGGGATTTTAGGAGGTACTCAATAGCGTTATAGTCTGGTCTCGTGTTCTGCTGGGAGTGAAGGCGCCCTGAATAGCGCTGGATTTGGCATAGCTGACTGATATGTTGACGGCTGGCACTTCTGCAGGCCGATCACATCAATGTGTGGCCTCCAACCACTAACGGAATAAGTTTGACGGCCAAGTGACAGATGCGATCTAGTTTGGCAGTGCGGGGAGACAAGACGGGGGAACCAAGGGCACGGATGAAAACCCCTGTAAGCTGCCATGTTTGGGTGGGCATCCGAACCATCAGAGTCGCAGGGCACACAGGCTGCAATTAACCCATTAGATGACCCGCGGGATATCTACCACCCTGCGATGGCCACCTGACCAGCCATAGTGTCGATGACCAGGGCAGCCGGAACTGAGGGGCCGTCTGACGGGGACCCAGAAGCTGCCTGTGCATAAGTTGGCTTCGCGTACGCTTTTGACGTGACCACTTCCTATCCGCCGGCGGGGGTGCTGTGGGGATTAGTCTTGAGTACCGTCGTTTCAGGACCAATTCGGCTGACCTGGATGGTATCTGTAGCAATCTACATTTCTCCCCGCAACCTTTTACCCACTCCACCCAGAATCATCATCTCTTGGCCCGCACACGGCTCAAGTACGTCGAGCAGAGTTGGTATCATTTTCCGGAGTAACACCACATACGAGGGTACACACCTTAATTTCGCAGTCCACTTAAGCAGGCATGGCTACCACCAAGCCGAAGACTGGCATTAAAGTCGTCGTCGTGGGCGCAGGGTTCGGCGGTCTCACTGCTGCCATAGAAGCCCACCGGCAAGGTCATGATGTTGAGGTGTACGAGTCTTTTCCGGAGCTCAAAGTCCTTGGCGATATCATCTCCTTCGGCGCTAATGGCGGTCGCATTTTCTACCGCTGGGGCAAGCACCCTGGAGAGATCTCGGACCGCCTGCGCAAGCTCAGCATCGACCTGAGCGAGTATGGTTTCCGCATCCACAAGTATGACACCGGAGAGGTCATGTTCCATCAAAGGACCCCTCCCTCAAACAAAGAAGCACCTGTCTTCAACGGCCACCGGGGCGAGCTTCATCAGGTCGTGTTCGACTACGCAAGGGATGAGCTGGGGATCCCAATCCGCCTCGGCGAGAACGTTACTGAGTACTTCGAAACAGAAGACGAGGCCGGTATCATTCTCAAGGGTGGTGAGCGAATTGTTGCCGATGTGGTAGTTGGAGCAGATGGTGTTCGTTCAAAAGCAAGAGAGCTGGTGCTTGGATACGAGGACAAGCCCAAGAGCAGCGGCTATGCCGTCTGGAGAGCCTGGTATGTACACCCCCAAGACCACAGACCTCTTCACTTTATTTCAGGAGTCTCATTCCGTTGGTTCCAGGTTTCCCAACACGGACATGATCAAGGATCCCCGCACCAAGGAATTTTGTGAGAATGGGGATACGTTTAACGGCTGGATTGGGCCAGATGTGCATTTCCTCTTCTCCACCATCAAGAATGGGTCTGACTGCTGCTGGGTGCTCACCCACAAGGATGAGCACGACATCGACGAGTCGTGGTCGTTCCCTGGCAAGCTAGAGGACGTGTACAAGGTCCTAGAGGGGTGGGATCCGATCTGTAAAGCTATAGTGGAAAAGACGCCCAGCCTGGTTGACTGGAAGCTCGTCTATCGCGACCCGCTCCCGACCTGGGTGAGCAGCAAGCGCAGGATCCTGCTCCTGGGTGACTCTGCCCACCCTTTCCTGCCGACCAGTGCCCAGGGGGCTACACAGGCCATGGAGGATGGAACTACCATTGCTATATGTCTCCGGAGAGCTGGCAAGGAAAACGTCCAGGCGGCGCTCAAGACCCACGAGGAGATCAGGTATGTGCCTTTGAGGAAAGACTGGCGCGCCGTTTGCTAATCATTATGCCAAGATACGACCGAGTCAAGGCAGTACAGAAGACGGGCGAAACCACAAGAGACATGTGGCATAAGACTGATTGGAATAAGGTCCGGGAGGACCCAAAGAGCATTGCAATGCCTCGGGACGATTGGATCCACTTTCACGATGCAGAAGTCCACGCGGAGACTGTCTTCGATGAGGTATTCAAGAGACACTCAGGGCCTGGGGCTGGAGCCGAGGGAGAGAACAATTCCGCATTTGTTGAGCATGTTGAGACCATCGTGGCCACGACCTAGGTACCCTAGGATAGTATTGGACACTATGGCCGATATAGACGCTAGACGTCTGCCGTCAACTTAGATGAACAGGTAGACCCTTAGGTAATTTCCAGAATCACTGGCTTTGGACGGTACCTTTGAGCCTTTAGGGACTAAAGTCGCGACATGTGTTCTGCTAGTCACTAACTAATCTATGTAAGTAATCTGCAGGTGGAAACCAATTCTGTTGCGGGAAAGTAGTGAAGCTACAGCATATATGTGTGTATTCCGTCACCCCCAAATCTATCAAAGTCGAGACCCGAGATCAATAAGGACGGTCTTGAGCTCCAAGAAGTTGTCTAAGCTGTTCGTCCCTCCCTCACGTCCTTGCCCGCTGGATTTGTACCCGCCAAAGGGCATGTCTGGGGCGATGTTGGGACTCGTGGTGTTGACCCCCACGTATCCACTTTCTAGCGCCTTTGCAACTCGCAGAGCGCGGTCCAAATCTTTGGTGAATACCGCTGCGTAGAGGCCGAATTCGGTGTCGTTGGCTACCTTGATGGCCTCGTCCTCGGTATCAAAGGTGCTGATATTGACCACCGGCCCGAAGATCTCCTCTTTCATGAACCTGCTGTTTTCTGGGGTGTCCAGGAAGACCGTCGGCTCGATGAAATAGCCTCCCATGCTGTCCAGCTTCCCTTTGCCGCCCATAGCAAGTGAGCCACCCGCAGTCTTGCCCTCCTCGATGTACTTCAAGACATTGTTGTACTGGAAGCCGTCGGCCTGGGGGCCGTGGTTCGTCTCCTTCTTGGTTGGATCTCCGGCATTGACCTGAGCGAACCTCTTCTGGAAGGCCTCCACAAACTTGGAGGCAATGCTCTTCTGCACGTAGACGCGGCTGTTGGCCATGCAGATCTGTCCGCTATTTTGCTGGATGGAACGACTCGTGTCGGCAACCGCCTTGTCCAGATCGGCGTCTTCGAAGACCAGTGCAGGGGACTTTCCGCCAAGCTCCAGTATGACCTTCTTGAGGTTCGACTTTGCGGCCGCCTCCTGGATAAGCCTCCCGGTGCGGGCAGAGCCAGTGAAGCTAAGAGCGCGGACGTCCATGTGGGAGGCGAGGACAGCTCCAGACGGGGTCCCATGACCAGAGATCACATTGAAGACGCCAGGGGGGAAGCCAGCTTCCTTGACGAGCTCAGCTACCTTTGCGGCAGCAAGTGGGGCCTTCTCGCTCGTCTTTACCACGACGGTGTTGCCCGTGATCAGTGCCGGTGCCGCTTTGAACGCGAAGAAGAGCAGCGGCGCGTTCCATGGGATGATGGCAGCGACGACACCGTATGGCTGACGGAAGGTCATGCTGATTTTACCCGGTGTGTTCAGACTGGTCTCGCCTTTGATCTGATCCCAGGACGCTGCATAGTGGTCAAACTTGACGGCTGCAGCATAGGCGTCGTAATACCCCCCAACGGGCTTTCCCATGGACTGAGCTTCGAGGACCGCCAGCTCGTCGTTGTGGCTCCGGATGAGGGATGCGAGCTTGTGCATGTAGCTTCCGCGCGTGGCGGGGGCTGTTTCTGACCATGACGGGAAAGCCGCCTTTGCTGCTGCGACAGCGGCATTGGCGTCGTCCTCAGTCGCCTCGGGGACTAGTGAGATTTGTTCAGTCTCGTGCTGATGAGTCTCTGTGTTTGGGTTTCCTACCATCAGCGAGCTTCGCTGTAGTTGCTGGGTTGTGCAGCGTGAATGTCTTCTTGTCTGATGCTTCGACCAGCTAGTGTTATTCTTCCATCAGTACACCAGTCTTTCACGCTACTCGCTGTATTCATAGCATGACTCGAAGCCTACCTCGCCGTTAATGAGCATTCGAGGATGAAACTCTGTCGAGCCGTTCGTCTTGTTCCCGTTTTCTGCCATGGTCAATAATACCATATGAATTCTCCAGTGGTCTAGTAGGAAAACGTTCCGACAGAATCTGTAGAAGTATGGGGTGAAAATGCTGGGTTAGAATAATCGCTGGCATCGGAAGTCGCGAGACGCGGGGAAATGCAAACCCTGGGAAGATTCTCGGAACTGGCCAAGTTTGTGCTTGACCCGGCTTGTTTCTAGCGGCCGCAGATGTACCTAGGTAATCAATGAACTGCTGCAATGCATTGCACTCCCCTGCTCGCCCTGATGCACCGCCCTCCACCATGGAAGCATCCACTAAATCGGTACCTAACGCACCGGGGCTGATAATGCCGACCATCGCGCGTCAACTGCTTCCCTGGCTGGCCCGCATGGTCCCTCTTACGGAATAGCTACCCCTAGGTATACAAGGGTCCAGGTGGACGAACTGGTGATCGGCAAATCGGGTTCTGGCGCCCATAATGCCCAGCCCTCGACTTCACCTTCCAACGATGCGGGGCATAATTCTTCCCGAGTAACGGATCAATGTTACACTGGGAGCATGCGAGTGGTGATTTCCTGACAACACATGGGGCTTACACTGCCAGCCCACTTGCCGAGGGCCAAATCCGAGGCATACCGCATCAAAGCTGCATTAGTCCTCGTGGTCCCAACGACTTATCAGTGGTCGTAATGCCGTGTTCCGTCTGGGGCAGCGTGGTGCATGCGGTCATGCTCAAGTGCTACTCATATCATAACCGATCTTGAACCACATAGGGCTTTCAACCACCTGGGCATGCGAATCGCCTACCCCCCTCCGAGTCCCTTTATCATTCCAATAAGGAAAAGCCACTGTTGGATAAGAATCAAATTCGGAACAGTTGAAAAATGTCTCGCAAAGGGACCGTCGCTATAGAGGAGGCTGTCCTCAATCCCGAGGGCATCTCATGGATGGCCGAAACTGCGTCGCTCTTTGCGCCTGGCCAAGATGCTTCTCAGCTCAAACACCACTCGCTGACCCAAAAGCTCATGGACATCCACGATCAGCGTCTTGCTGACATGGATGCCGAGGGTGTCGAGTATATGCTCCTGTCTCTGACCTCTCCAGGTGCACAAGGCGAGAGAGACCCCGTGAAGGCTGCCAACCTTGCGAAAAATGCCAACGACTGGTTGGCTGGGGAGGTAGCAAAGAGCCCGAGCAGATTCGGAGCACTTGCCGCTCTTTCGATGCATTCACCTGCAGAGGCGGCGGCAGAGCTAAAGAGAGCGGTAAAAGACCTGGGTATGTTCGGGGCCATGGTGAATGACTTTCAGACATTCGGCGGGGATGGTGCTGGCAAGAAGTACTACGATGCGCCCGAATACGAATTGTTCTGGCAGGAAGTCGAGAAACTAGGTGTTCCGATCTACCTCCACCCACGGTATCCCACATCACAAGAGCTCGAGGGACCACACGCGAAATGGGGCCCGAGGAAGCACCTTCTCGGAGCTGCGGTCTCTTTCCACCTGGACCTGAGCTTCCATATCTATGCCCTTTGTTCTAGCGGCATTTTTGACAAGTTTCCCGGCGTGCAGATCGTAGCCGGGCATCTGGGTGAAGGGTGGGTCTGAGTCGGATGCTGCCCAGGTGGTTGTGCCTGTCAACCTACGCATCATTCGACTGACATAATCCCAGTGTACCTTTCAACCTATGGAGGGCGGACCACTGGTACAACAAGCCAGTCAAGAAAGCTACCAGGCCTTCGAAAGAAGACTACAGCTACTATTTTCAACACAATGTCTCGATCACCACCTCAGGTGACTTTTCCACTTCCGGGCTAAAGTTCTGCATCGAGCAAATGGGAATTGACCGGTGCATGTTTTCAATCGGTGAGCCTTAAGACACTCAGCTCATTCCAGGGACTCATGCCGCTACGGCCCTTTGACTGACGCATTTGAAGACTATCCTTATGATTCGATGAAGGAAGCGAATGACTGGTGGAAGGGGGTAGACATTGCGCCAGATGAGAAAGAGGCAGTAGGAAGAAGAAACGCTATCAGAATCTTCAACTTGCCACTCGAAGCTTGATAATGATATGATGTTAGGGGAAACAGTGGCAGATGATTTCGGGCAGAGACATTTCGTGGAAAAAAACAGGCTATGGGTGTTTCTCTTGAATGTTGCTGATTCCAAGTGAGACACCGTCGTGATGACGACAGAAATAAGAAGAAAGTAAAGTATCTAGTTCGGTCAGCATCACTAGGTCTTAACATCGCTTCCTTAAGAATAGGATAACATAGCGATAAGTAATAAGAGTAATAACGTTTTATTTTATTAACTATTAACTTTTAAGATCACTTATTATATTATAACTATTATTATTAATATTATATTCTTTTAAACACTAGGTTTTAATTTCTTATTATTATATAAAAGTATTATATATACTTTAAAATATATATAAAATAAATATAAAAAATATTATACTTTTAAAATTAATATTTTAAAATAGATTATAATTATAATATTATTATTATAAAAGTTAAAATATTTAAAAATATTAAATTATTAATTAAAGTATTATAATATAATATTTATATATTTATTTACTTTTATTAATACCTTTTAATTAATTTAAAAGTTATTTTTATTAAAGTTTTATTATAACTTACTTTTAAAAGAAATTTAATAAATAAATAAAAGTATTAATATTACTTATTATTATAGAATTATAAAATAATTTAAATACTTTAACTTTTTTATAATATAAAGAATAATTTATTAAAGTTTATAAATTAAATATAAAGTTAACTTTATATATTTAAATTTATAAGATATTTAGAATTTATATTTATTTAAATATTAATTATATTAATATATAGTACTTAAAAAATATATTAAAAATATTTTTAAATTATAATATTAAATATTAAATATTAAATATTAATTTATAAATAACTTTATAAAATAGATTTATATATATTAAACTTATTATAAAGATTAAAAACTTAAAAGAGTGAGTATATAGTTAATAATATCTTATCTATAAGCACATTATATCCTTTAATAAAGGTTTAATAGCTGCTGTTATATAATTGCATATAGTAAAATCAAATGGGCAGACGTTATCAAAAGAAGTACGCCGACTACCTTTCGTGATTTTCAAGCGAGTGACACTGGCAGTTGAAAAACCTCGATTATCGTACACTCCAAGTTATTTTCAGACCCACTCTTTCGGTTTTTGCCCATTCTCGGCGAGGCCGTTACGATCCTCGAGTTCGATATTGTTGCCCGGCATTGGTCCGTTGGACCGGTAGCGATCAGAAACTGCGTGCACGTCGTTCACGATCTCAACTTCTTCAATGTCTTTAACAGGTGTTAGTTGTCATTGCTGACCTATTGGGGTAGGGTAACTGGAACTGCCAACCTTTCTTGTTCATGTAGTCCCATGAGTTCGTGCGGTCCTTGACACTGTCGTCGAGATTATACTGGATGGTGGAGCCGCGGGAAAACCGGTTCATCATCATGACGCTGTTGCGCTTGCTCGGGTCTCTATAGGAATTGTTTGGCAGGGCCTGGGTGCTAGACAGAACTTGAACTTCTGCGGGGTTGTCCTCAACGATGGGTTGGACGCCCTTCCACCGGTAAAATAGGTCGAGGGCCGGAATCGAGAGCCCATGGAAAATGATCGAGAAAAGCACAAGCCAGTATACCACAGGTATCATTGCTCGAGTCAGGTTGTCTTCTTCCACTGTGAGAGCCTCTCCGGGCTTGGGAAATAAGTGTCGGGTGTGCTCCACATAGAATACAGCACCGATACCTTGTTGCAATCCATCATGTCAGCCAACCGATGTACCACAGGTGGAGAATGTGTCTTACCGATTGGGCCGAAGTATCCCATAAACAAAGCCTCCTTCCAATCTTTGACAACCTTGGGCATGAACTTGTACACCATGAAAATGGCAGGTATGCGTCGAAAGATGAAGACGAGGATGCCAAGTCCTATCAGACGACCAATAGTGATGCCGGTAATGTCAGGCTGATTGAAGGCCTCCCATGGCATGATGGCTCCGATGTACATGAAACCACCAAAGTTGAGAAGAACGTCGACACAGCTGTTGACCTCGTCATGGCGCTTTTCGGTTTCCTCGAGAAATTGTCCATTCCAGTTCAGGGCATTTCCGGCGACGAAACATGCGAGCAAATCGTCAGTGCCGAGCATCCCGCATACTCCGATCGTGAATAACTATCCTCGGTTAGCTCATTCGCATTTTTAAGAGATCATATGCCCTGGCTCCTGCTTACTCCGAGGGCTGTGGGCCAGAGCAGAAGACTCTCATTGTCGATCCATTTCCTTCGATGAAAATTAGTCCGACTTCTTTAGATGTAGTAGAGACACTCGAAACATACCTCCTCAAGGAAAACCTGACGGCCCACAAGCTGCCGTAGCCCAAGACAATCCCAATCGCTACGCTCATGAGCACGATGTACAACCAGCCCTCAACAAACCATTCTTGCATGGCCCGTGCGAGACCACCGCCGAGTCGACCGACGGAGGGATCGTGAGCTGCTTCTGCGGCCGCCTCTGTAGCTCTGCTGACAAGGCTAGAGAGGGCGGCTCTTGCTTGAGGAATTGTAATCCCCTCTTTGAAGACGACATTGGCCAGGTCCGCATGGCGAATGAGATAAACCGCAAGCCTGGTACAAAGATGTCAGTGCGGACATGCGAGAATTGGTAAGGGGAGACGAACAGAAGGAAAGGGAAACCAAAACCATCGTTGGCCCCCGCTTCAGACGAAATTATCTCACGCAAATCGCGTCGCACGTATTTATCCGAGAAAGGGCCTTTGGCAACAGCTTGAGAGAGGATAGGATCTGTACACGTGACGCAAGACCCGATGACGAGGGCAGCAAGCTAAATCAGACAAACGTGTCAGGCCTCAACTGTGCCGGGCAGTGGGGGTCGAAGTGGTAAAGGGGCGATGGGTCACTCACCAGAGACAGGTTAGGAATGGTGACGAGGATGCAAACAGTGGTGAACAACCACATCAGAGTCATCACCGGCAGCAGGCAGATTGCCATCTCGACCCATCGAAGCATTTGGTATTTGGCAGGGAGCTGAAAGCCAGCGATGACGAGCTGCACGCCGATAACGACCCGACATATACCCTTTTAACTTGTCAGTGGTTTCTTTTTTTTTCGCTTGTTTGAATGCTTGTACGGCTTGGCAAATTGCTTACCAGGGTGATACTCTCTTGTTGTCCCTCGGCAGCAGACCCCCATCTCTCGGCGTCAAGGAACTTTGCAGACACAGGACCCAGTATGATACCAATGAGTACGGCAGGCACTACATCAAGTGACTCAGTAAGATGTTTTTGCCGGCGACGTCGAAATGAGTTAAGCAGTAACTTACATGCTTCGCCCAAATACCAGACCTGCTTGATCTTGACAGACGAGAAACCATAAATGACAATGAAAGCGCCTTGAACACGCATTAGTATGGACGTGATCAATCATAGGCGTGCGCGACCTACCTAGCACGGCAATGACCGCGTTCAGCTCGCTGACATCTAATTTCGGCATGTTGAACGACGCCTGGAACAGCTTGAAATTCGAAGGCAGAAGTCTACGGATCTCTTTTGGAAAGGAAATATCTCGCTTGGAAAGGAAAGCAATACAATGAACTGCGCCAGAGTGGACGTAAAGTGATAGGAAGACACCCAATGGAGTAGAATAGGAAAGTCGGCCAGCCGAGTTCAACACATTTTCAGGACAAAGATGAAAGACGCGATGAGTTATATGATGAGCAGACGGAGAGTTTGGAACAAACGGCAGTCTATCAAGAGAGGAAACTGGGAAGACTGGAAAGAAAATGAAGTGTAGTCAAACTGAACTCAGTAGTAGCGCGCGTGTGGCAGACATCCGATACTATGTATAGGACGGGCGAGAATGAAAATCATTCAGGGGTTGAACGCCAGCTGAGGCAAGTCCCAATCGGGAGCGTGCGTGGTCCACCGAAACAGAGGTTCGCGTAGGTTCCGGGGCGAGTGAAACCAGAAGTTCGAATGCCACGGAAGAAGGCGAGTGGGCCACGCTTGGGCTTCCAAAAGTAGAAACACCAAGCATTGCAAACCGCAGCCAATCAGTCCGGATACGCGTCCAGGAAAGCCAAAACATGAGAGTATAAGTTAACCCTCCCCTGCCCAACCATCCCGATCACATGTCATGTTACCGGAGTCGTAATCTTGTCATTCCACAACCACATAGTGCGTGCTGAGTATCGATTATGTTTACACCCCCGGAAAGCGCGTATTAATGAACACTCTCAACATCCATATCCGAGGTCACGGTGAGTAGAGACCAGTTGGAAGACACGTACTGCGCTGGTTTCGGTACAATGATGACTTTTCTTTCAGGTACACACTGCCCAGCCATCAAGGCTTGGGAAAGTAACAGAGGCCAAATCGCCACGGGGAGATTATCGGTGAGTCTGCCTTCCTGTACCCACCCGGCGTTACTTGGCGGCTGGGCGGGTAATAAAAGCTGGAGAATGAGTAGCTAGTTGGGGTCTTGGGAGCTTGGCTGATGCTGATCAGCAAGCCCCTGAGGCCCAAGAGATTCCAACTATCTGAATGCCGGCCTTGGAAGTGTGTTGGAAAGCTTAGCGAGCGAGCTGGCGAGGCACCTGCAACCAAGAACCTCTGCAGCAGGGGCGCCAATTTTGTTTGACTTTGTCACAGGTGTCTGACGGATGCGCCCAAGGGGCCGAAGCAGCTATGCGGCGGAACCTCGAAGTGAATATTTCACCCATGGAACATATTCCCAAAAGGTAGTCAGCCAACAACACTCCATGACGAGTTCCGTGGTGACGCACACAGGAAACGGCTGCGAGTCGCCTCAACAGGCGGGGTTAGAACGACAAATGACTGGTAATACTAGCAAAATCATGGATCTAGTCGTGGCAACGTTAGCGGGTTTTTGTTATGGGGTTCGGCTTCTTTACTAGCGCACTGGGCGTGGCCAATAGCGCAGATCACATACCGATACGCTGGAGCCAAGAACTGAGAGAATGCAGGCTCAGGGCCGACTTGAAGGCCAATATGTCTTGTGTGACAGCCAAGCGTTCGACAAGCCGCCCGAGCAAGCGGGCCAAGCTACCCAAGCAGACCAAGAGCGAGCAAGACTTTTCATCGCGCAACAGCGGCCTTGCAGCCACGACCTATTTGCTACTGTTTCCGTCAAAGCCCCTTGGTTGTAGGGGACCTCCAAGATCTTTCTCCATTGGAGTTGCCACGATAAGGTGTTGTTTCACGCAGGTCCGAGCTGCGTTTTGCCGAGATGCGCTTGAACCTGTACCAAAAGTGCCGGCGACGATAGTGCGTGGTCACCGCCGAGGCGTTGAAATGCTTCACGCAGCGGTGAACCGGAAGAGTGTATCATCTTGGGCACTTTCGGGATACTTAAAGACCGCAGGACACTTAGTGATCGTTTATTCGAGAAAATCCCGAAGGAGGTCATGGCAGTGCCGAACCCTTAGGTCTTGTTTTCTTGGTTTTAATTCTCATATATCAGAAACTCCGGAAGTTACGGTATACACCTCGAGATATTTTTGGCCATACTCGCATTGCGTGCCAGGAGCGCATCCAACTACCTAGTCTGACTTTTAGCCATGGCTGGCACATCATCCGCGAAAAAAGGCGGCAACACTGGCGACCGCGCTCCATCGCTGAGTCAACCAGCTCACTGCCTACCTGCTACAGAAGTTCTCGCTCAACTTCAATCTGATCCCGTAACTGGACTTGGAGACGATGACGTATCTAAGAAACAAGGGATATATGGCAGTAATGCTCTGGAAGGTAGCGGCGGGTCAGGCCCCATCCGGATTCTCATGAACCAGGTGCTCAATGCACTTACAATGGTTAGTCAATTAACCCAGTTACTCCGTCATCTGCACCCCCAGGATTAATGGGCTTACTGTTTCAGGTTTTAATTATGGCCATGGTTGCCAGCTTTGCAATCAAGTCTTGGATTGAGGGAGGTGTTATCGCGTTTGTTGTTCTCCTCAATGTCGTGGTTGGGTTCCTTCAGGAGTATTCCGCCGAGAAGACTCTAGAAAGTATCCGCACTCTGGGCTCACCCACTGCACAAGTCATCCGCATGGGATCCAGCAAGGTTATCCCCACATCGCAACTTGTCCCTGGTGACATTGTCGAGATCGTCACTGGAAACACCGTGCCCGCCGATATACGGTAGGTCCATTGACAATGATATGGACACACGCGCTCAATCCCGAGCCGACTGGACTAAAATGACAGGTTGCTAACTTGAGATACAATAGCTTGATCGAATCTATCAATCTGGAAACAGACGAGGCATTGCTGACCGGCGAGTCGTTGCCCGTTGCAAAGAATGCAAATTCCATCTTTGATGCAGACACTGGTGCGGGCGATCGTCTCAATGTGGCCTATAGTTCAAGTACAGTCACAAAAGGCCGGGCCAGAGCGGTAGTATTCTCCACTGTGCGTCCAGCAATTTACTTCAGAGACCATCTCATATATACTGACACCGTTTCCCAGGGAATGGAAACAGAAATTGGCAAGATAGCGGCTGCGCTTCGTCATAAAGATTCTGTCATCCAACCAGTCAAGCGTCGAGCAGACGGCTCGGCCGGTCCCATTCAATACCTCCAAGCGTGGATTCTAACTGCATGGACATTGCTTGGTAACTTCCTCGGCACCAATGTAGGCACGCCATTGCAGAGGAAGCTGTCCAAGCTGGCAATCCTGCTGTTTGGCATTGCCTGCCTCTGTGCATTTATCGTTGAAGCAGCAAACCAGTTCAGCCCTGCGAACGAGGTCGTAATTTACGGTGTGGCAACGGGACTGAGTATGATACCTGCGAGTTTGATCGTCGTCCTGACAATCACCATGGCTGTCGGCACAAAATACATGAGCAAGAGGAATGTGATTGTTCGCAAGTTGGACAGTTTAGAAGCCTTGGGCGCTGTCACCAATATCTGCTCTGACAAGACTGGTATGTAATGACAAACCCTTAGGAACAGGTCCACTGTCCCCGCCCTCACTCATTCAGCATTATGCTTCTTTCACGTTGCGAGGGCTCGGAAGCACCGTCACTGATTTTGTCTCGTTCAGGAACTCTTACACAAGGCCGTATGGTTGCCAAGGCAGCGTGGGTCGCCGGAAGAGGCACATTGGTTCTTGAAACCCCCAAGGACCCATACGACCCTACGATGGGTGCCATCACTTATCACAATGGCACACCGGAGTCGAGCCACGATGTCTCGGAAAAAGACCAACGGATCTTGAATGCTGACGAGCTGTCGTCCGGGCGTGCGACGAAGGAGCACGTCAGCATCGAAAACTTCATGAACGTGGTGTCGATGGCTAACACCGCGCAAGTGGAGCGGTCTGCGCAAGGCAGTTGGTCCGTCAAGGGCGATCCTACAGAGATTGCCTTGCAGGTCTTCGCTTCACGTTTCAACTGGAACAGGAAGAGGCTCGTGGACGAGACAAATGAGTGGTCGTTGGTTGCGGAATATCCTTTTGACTCAGATGTCAAGCGCATGTCAGTCATTTACAGTAAGGAGACCGAAGTTGGAAAGGAAGAATCTTGGGTATTCTCCAAGGGAGCGGTTGAGCGCTTGCTTCCCCTCTGCACCCATATCCAAGGTGGCGACCGCGATGCTATTACCGAACTTGGGCCGGAGTGGAATGCGTGCATCATGAAGAACGTCGATTACCTGGCCAATCAAGGCCTTCGGGTCTTGTGCCTGGCCAGTGTGCTTCGGATTGGCCACCAGAAGGGTGATAACGTGGCAGCACCCAAGCGCGAGGACGTCGAGCAGGGTCTGACCTTCCGGGGCCTCGTTGGTATCTACGACCCTCCGCGCCCAGAGTCTGCCGGCGCCGTAGCTGCTTGCAAGAAGGCACATATCACGGTACACATGCTGACGGGCGACCACCCCGGGACCGCGGCGGCGATCGCGAAGCAAGTCGGCATTATTCCCTTCAACCCACAGCCATCCTCGGTCATGACGGCCTCCCAGTTCGACAAGCTCTCCGACGACCAGGTGGATGCCTTGACGAGTCTTCCTCGCGTCATCGCACGATGTACGCCTCAGACCAAGGTCAGGATGATTGATGCCCTACACCGCAGGAAAAGGTTTGCCGCCATGACCGGCGACGGCGTTAACGACTCACCTTCGCTTGTGCGCGCGGACGTCGGGATTGCTATGGTATGTTACTACCCATCATTGAATTCTATGCCCTTGCTATCTTCCCGGTCCACCAGAGTCTACCAAGTTAAAAAAGAATGTCGCTAAAATGGCACATTAGGGCCAAGCTGGCAGTGATGTTGCCAAAGACGCAGCCGACATTATTCTTACCGATGACAATTTTGCCTCGATCCTGAATGCTGTCGAGGAGGGTCGGAGGCTATTCGATAATATTAAGAGATTCGTGCTTCACGTTCTTGCTGAGAACATTGCACAGGCTACAACTCTGCTTGTGGGTCTTGCTTTTAAAGACGTTAACGGCAATTCGGTGTTCCCATTGGCACCTGTACAAATTCTGTGGGTTATCATGGTATGTATAGGATGGCTGTTCCTGTTCAAGGTAAAAGTGCTAAAGCTGACTATAATGGAACAACAAGGCGACGTCTGGCATGCCCGACATGGGACTAGGAATGGAGGTAGCTGTGCCAGATATTATGAGTCGTCCGCCCCATGATTTGAAGACCGGGGTCTTCACGACTGAGCTTATCGTGGACATGATCGTGTACGGCATCTGGATGTCAATTCTTTGCCTTGCATCTTTTGTCCTAGTCGTCTTCGGCTTCGGAGATGGCAATCTTGGTATGTGACACCGGTAGCCCCGTCAATTCGGCAACTGTGGTTCCAGTGTGGACGTCGCTAACTTTCATGGAAGGCATCAATTGTAACAACGAGTACTCCGATTCATGTACTCTTGTCTTCCGAGCCCGTGCCACAACATTTGTCTGCCTGACTTGGTTCGCACTTTTCCTCGCCTGGGAGATGGTCAACTTCAGACGGTCTTTTTTCCGACAAGTGCCCAAGTCGATGCACCCGAGCGGGAATTATCGATGGTATCACGTCTTCTACCAATGGTGGAATGATAGCCGACAGAACCCCTTCCTGTTTTGGGCTATTGTTGCAGGCTTTGTCACCATCTTCCCGACACTTTACATCCCCGTGATCAATCACGTCGTGTTCAAACACGAGGGAATCACGTGGGAATGGGCCATAGTGGTGGTCGAGAGTATTCTATTCTTTGCTGGATGTGAAGGATGGAAGTGGCTGAAGAGGGCGTATTTCAGGCGGCAGGACAGAAGAAAATCCGTCGCAGGGGATCTCGAAGAGGAAGCGGCTAGTGACTCTGACAGTGACATAAACCGTTCTGTTCATAGTAGCAACAGGGAGAAGGGCGCCGCTAGTGGCGGTTTGATCGCAGTTGGTTGATCGGACTACCTTATTGCGTGTGTTGCTATAGAGAAAGTCCGTGGAGTTAAAAATAATTACTGAGCGTTAAAGGTATAATTTGTTCTATCTAGAGACGATTTTAAGAGACTGAGGATGAAGGCGTCACATACATTTTATATGCATAGGGATTAGGAACTTAACTACTATAAGAGATTAATTTAGTGTGGACCGTGTAATGAAGTTACTAAATAGGAAGTCGGCCCCGCTATTAGAAGTAATATTAACTATTAGTAGTTAGATTATAAGTAATATAAGTTATAAGTTAAAAGTTATAATAAGTTAATAGTACTATATTTAATAAAAAGTTTTTTTTTAAATTATATTAAAAGGACTTTTATTTTTAAATAATATTATTAAATAATTAATTTATATTTTTTATTTATTTATATAATATATATTATTTTTTTAATATTTTATAATAATAAAATTAAAAATAAAAATTATAAGTAATAATTATTATTATAAAGAATTTTTATAATAAAATTATAATAATATAAAATAATTAAATAAAGATTTATTAAAAAATTATAATTATAAATCTTTTTAATTTATATTAAAAAAAGTTAGAAATATTAATATAATTAATTTATTTAAATACTTAATTTTATATAAAATTATAAATTTATTTTTCTTAATATAATGAAACTTTATTAATTTAATAAAGTATTATAATAACTTTAATAAAATAATATTAATTTAAGCTTTAACTAATGTATTTATACTATTTGTCCTGTATGAGCCCCTCTCGCCGCAACTTATCCATCCAGCCCAAACTAAACCACCACCGTGTCTCCACCCATCTCGCCGCTGAGCTCGCGAGAGGTTGGCCCGCGGCGCGCTGCTGCACCGATGTAGCCCAACAGAGCCGCACGGGCTGCCTCGACAACCTTCTCAGCATGACCCAAGGCGTCCCGGAGCGCTCGCACGGTCGGGTCCCCGTCGGCTCCGTCGATCTTGGCGTGGGCGAAGTTCTCGGGGGATCCATGTTCTCCCATTGCATGCTCCCCTGGACTGACCTCCTTCCTCACCTGCTGCTGGTCCTTGAGCTCTCGGATGTGGCCGTTGAGCCACAGACCCTCGAGCTGTTTCGCTGTCATGTCCTTGGCGCCGGCGATCTTGCCGCGGCAAGCGGCGGACCCGCAGACGCAATGGAACGGCTGCGCCATGTCCCATTCCGTGGAGGGATAGAAGAACTAAACGTTTTCAATGACAGACGCGTCCGATGTGAGTGGATTCATTCATCTCAGAAGACACGATTAGGAAAGCGGAGTGAGTGTGGGGACGTCGAGGGTCACACAAACAGTCAGTTCATCTCCGGGTTCTAGCCCTTTGGGCCCAGCCAGGACATTCATGTTGGCTGTGTCGATAATCTGTTAGGGCATGTATTCTGCGTCAATGAATACACTCGACAATACGAGATTGGGTCATCGAATGCCCGTTCCTCAAGCGTGTCGGCGGGTCCTCTCATCATCCCACTACAACACCCATTGATAACTGTTAAGGGGGAGAAGACCTCGGGCTGTCTCGGTCTGCCGCGGCCTGCGCTGGTTGGGAAGGAGACTGACCAGAGAAGGCTCGCAGGAGTGGTTGAGATAGAGCAGATCGCTGTTGAGTTCGAGGTGCCTGTTTCGTCCAATCTGGACAGTGGAGTAGGCCGGCGATTTGGCTAGGGTGCAGGGAGGGAAGGACAGCTTCGCAAGGACGGCGAAGGGAGCGGCAGCGGTGGTAGATACGCTTTTCGAGGTAAACTCGGCCTCACTGACGATGACTTGCAGCAAGTCAGGGTGGGACGGCTGTGTCCAGTGCGGCTTGAGCGGGGCCATGATTCTTGAGGCTCCAACGTGTTTGCAAAATGTCACCTGGGAGAAGTTGCTTTTTCAAACTGGATGAAGAGCGCCTGGGTGTGCTTGTGGGAGCAAGCTGAAATCCCTCGCCAGTGATAAAGGGGACTAAGTACTCCGGCGGGGTTTTGTCGTCATGCCGAGCAACGTGACACGCCAATGATAGTGCATAACCTCGGGATAAGAATACGCGGCACCCGGGTTACCCGTTAGCGGATTCCGCCTTTGAACAGCAACGGCGCCCATTCCCATTCCGTTACCGCAATCTGTAGACAAGTCAGAATACTCGGATGTTGTTGTGGTCTGTTAAGGGTATATTTGCTTTACATCGCAGCAAGTATTGATAATAGTCTTCTTGCACACAGGTCTTGCTACTTTTAATATTTCGTCCCCGTCCCCTATTCTCCTAATGCCCCCCCCCCCGGATGATTCCTGCGATGGTGACCCGTCACTTTTGTGTGTAGCTAGGGGGTCATTAGCCAACGAATAATTTCCGCCGTCGCCAGAATCCTTTGTTAGATCGTGGTATGTCACATGCAACTTGCTTCGGTTATTGTTGTTGTATACTCCTCTGATAATATCCTGAGAAGTAGGCACATCGGGATTATAATGATAGTAGTAGTTATCTTTATCAATCACGACAGACCATCGTTTTGAGGTTCTTGAGCTTGATGCGACAAACTCTCTGTACCTTTTATTGTTTCGGGGCACCGACTAGGATGCCCTACTCCGCGCTCTTTGGCTTCACTTATGGTCTTTTGCTACCTAGGTAGGGGCTCCTGCGATTCGAAGCCTGACTAGCGTGGTAAGCACCTCCCTAGCTGCGTCGCTTGGATCCAGGTTGGTATTAGAGTAACGAGGGCGATTGTTGAATATTTACCAAAGCGGGGTGGTTTCGTTTCTACTCCCCAGACATATAAAATGGTGATAGTAAAATGTCAGTTGGTGGCAAAGTAGGTAGGTACAGAAGTAGCCTTGGAAGGCTGAAATATGGGATGGCCATAGGACTGGCCACCCCCAACGGCCAAATAATAAATGTGATTTTGTTCAACAAACACAGCAATTCTGCCAATCGGATCGACGGCGGCCTCGGAGAGTTAGGGGCCACACCGGCTGATCGGCCGGGGACCCATACATTGTTGGACCGGCGCTGAAGAATAAGCACCCGAATTTAGATACTGTGTTCCCACCAATAAGTGCCTACGGAGGTACTGTGTAAACGCTGCAGCCTCGGAGTACCCCGCATCAACAGGCCACCACACTTCAAGCTCATTATCATCACAAACTGCCTAGGTGGCACCCGCATATCTTTCAACACACTGCCTCTTACTTCATCGCCTTTGATCTCGCAATTCATCAATCATGGTAAATGCCACCCGAAAACTAACCCAGTCCGGTCATCCTCACGATGAACCGGATCTGCAGTCTCTGAGTGGTAATTTGCCTCCCATGATCGACGATGAGCCCGAGCAGATTGTGTACGCCTTTGAGACTGGTCTGAAGTCTATTTCTCATCAAACCTCTTCTTCAGTATCAGTTCATGAGGCGGCACAAGTGTTTTTCACCAAGATCCAAACAATTCTACCGTTATCTACGGACAAGAACCGTAATGCCTTTTTTTTCGAGAACTTGGCCTCGATCTTCATGTGCATTGCTCAGCAGACCCCAAGTCGGAACATCGGCCAGGAATTGCTCGTCGGAACTGTCAGGCTGATGACTGAGTCGCCGGAGGAGACATGGCGGGAAGGGTTTCTAGTAGCACAGAAGATAAGAATGAGGGACGGCTGGTGTGGTCAGTTCCCCAACGTATCCCAAGTCCATGCTTCTGCCCCGCTAACATATGGTCACTTCCTCAGGATTCACTTTGGAGGAAGGTCATGAGGCGGACGAGGTCCTGAGTCCCGATGAGTGGCTCAACCTCAATTCTTTCAATGCCCGTCTGTTCGGATCTGGGCTGAATCGGTGGATAAACTTTCCCATATGGCAGCTAAGAGAAGGCCTAGAAGACCGTTTCGGTGCCGATGCAGACGAAAATGACTGCAAGGTCGCAGTCGCCTGCGAGTGGGTCATCCAGGCCGGGCGAAGAATTCTTTACGAAACCCTCCAAAATCAAGAGTACGACAAAGCAGAGAAGAGATCGTACCGTGGCCTTAACTTATTCACTGGTTATCCAGGCTTGAACACTGAGAGATGGGGATTCTGGAAGCGGCGTCTTGATGAAGTTAAGCCGGAAGTTAAGACTCAGCTCACGTTAAGATACGTCGAAGACGCGAAGAGAGCAATGAAGACTATTGAAAAGGATTCAGCTAGTAGAGCCTTAGGCTAATAGCTTAGAAGATTAAATAATAAGTTTATATTATTTTTTATTTAAATATTTAAAATAACTTAAATTATATTAATAATATATTTTAATTTTATTTTATTATATTTTAATAGAAAATATTTTTTTAAAATATATAATTATATATTTAAATATGTAAGAAGTTTTATAATAAGCTTTTATAAACCTTTTAGATGAAATTCTACCGTTAATGTGTGATTATATCCTCCTATGTATCTCGGTCTATATAAAATTACAATCCCATATATTAAACAGAGCTTGATTGGCAGGACCAATCATTGTATACCTGGCGGAGATGTTGGCGATAGAGCGAATGTTGAATCGGTCACCCAATCCAGGCGGCTGAAATCCGGGGTCGATAAGTCTGTTATACGTCCTACACAAGTCCATTTATTAATATTTCAGCCTAGGGTGACTGAAAGACGGAACTGGCGCCCAATAGGCTGTCTGACATATATTGAAGTCTTCATATCTGACTCACAGTGGCACACCTAGAACAACTCCTCCCAGAAGTTCTCCCGTGGCCGGAATTTCAAATTCGGCCCCTCATGCTCTGCCATGAATCTGTCGTACAATTGATACTCGCCCGGCCGATCCCTACCCCCGCCTGCCCCCTTTTGTCCACTGCCAAGCTCACCGGCTTTGCCAGGGGCCTTCTCGAAGTCGAAGTACCACAGCGTCTTAGCGACAGTCAAGCTAATCTCCATATAAGCCACAGCCTTACCGGCACAAGCGCGATCTCCAAGCATGAATGGGACAAAGGCACGTCGCATGATAGCTCTTGCTTCTTTCTCCTCGGGTGTGTCATCGTCCCTGTCCAACCATCTCTGCAGGCGGAACTCGAACGAGTCGGGGAAGTATTCAGGATTATGCATCAGACTGTAGGTGCCCACACCCACCAGCGTCCCTGGCGGGATGACGTGCCCGTCCACGACCAGGGGCTCGTCGCAGAGGGGATCCTTCTGGCGCCACATCACACCGGGAGTCGGAGGTGAAATTCGCAGCGATTCGTCGATAACGGCCCGGAGGGTTCTGCAGCTCGAAAGCTGCTGACCGTAACGGATATGACTGCCCGAAGAGAACGTCATCCGCACCTCGCCGGCGAGTTGGGAGTAGGCAGCTGGCTGGCGTGACAAGTAGTAGAAGACGGTCGAGATAGCTGTGGCTGTAGTAGTGCCGCCTGTGTGCAGAAGCAATGTTAAGACCGTAGCATTAGGATCAATGATTGAGACCGGTGAGTCGCGCCACTTGCCTGCGTTAACAAACACGCCCGCCTCCCCCCATATCTCGCTCTTCCGGATGCCTTCCTGCTGTGCCTGGTCCACCCTCTCGTCGTCTGCCACGAATGAGAAAAGATCGTGCTTGGCATCTATGGGCAGGGCCATCCGGTCAGCAATCATCCCTGCCAGGATCCTGCGGAACTTCTCGACCCGCTCCCTGACCAGCCACTGCACACCCGGATCGATTTTGTGCGTCTTTGGCCAGTTCATGAACAGGTATACGCGGGGGTTGAGGGAGGCGAACGCCCTCGGCAGGATCCGCAACTTTTCCTCGGTCTGTGTCTTCCAAGAGGCACCGAAAGCAAGGAGGCCGATGATGTCCATGGCAAGGTATTTGCACCGAGATGTCATTTCAACAATCTCATCTTGTTGGCTGGCGCGCAGGATCTGCAAGAGGAAGACATCGATCTGTGATATCATAGTCGGCTCGAACTCGCGTGCTGAGCGCTCGGAAACCGCCTGCCCGACGACCCTACGTCGTCGACGGTGATCTCCCTTGTCCGTGGCCGTAAAGACACTGGGTGTGCTTCGAAACCTGGCATTGGCATAAATCCATGCTTTTGCAATTCGCGGGTTTAGGTATATGTCTGACGGAGCTTCTGCTTAGCACTACGTTCATGCATCCGTATGCTAGATAGTATATGGCTGCGCCTGAGATTAAAACTCACCCTGGGCGGCTGTGAAAGTGTTAAAAACGAGTCGGTCCGGAGCTTGTCTGACCACAGGTCCTACTGGCTGTCAGACAAATGTGCCCTTGGCTCAAATGAGCCCATCCAGCGGCCACGCTCTTACCATACTTGAGATGATCTAGGTATGTGATGAGATGAACATCTCCTTTGATAGCGTGCCATCCGGTGTATGCATTTGTGAGTCGGGCAAGCCAAGGTCCCGGGTACGTCTTGAGAGGGCTGAAAATAAGTCGGGAGCTGATCAAAATGAGAATCTGAGAACAGCCGAGCAAGCGTGGTCAGTAGCAGCAGTCTCAGTGATGAATCAAGATCCTACCGAGGTGGCGAGGATGCCTGCAGCATACTGCAGTAAAGTATTCATGTCGCTTTGCTGGCAGTTCAGTGGAAAGTTTTGACAATGTCAAATCCCAAGATTAGTACACAGGACAGTTGGGTTAAAACCGTCCTGCAAGCTCCGGTATGAGATCTGTTGGTTGGTCTGTTGGTTGGTCTGTTGGTTCAGTATGGCCAGGTTAAAGCCGAGGGACATTCCACAAGCGTGTTGACAGCATGCACGTACCAGCGCACATGTGTTCCGTGGCTAGTGAGACAAAACATGGCCAGACAAACATGATATCTAAAGTATACGAAGCAAGGGCAGAAAAAAGAACTTCAACGGAGAAGAGTTCATGGGATGATATTAGGATTTCCTGAACTATCGCCCACTCATTTGAAGGAAGAAGGGTTGTTTATAGGTGTGGTACATGTACTACATAAGATCATGCGGTTGGCTGCTTACCCTGGCCTGTCTAGGTGCGCGGAGTACCTAGGCACTCTTATTTATCCTTCACGCACCCGACCCAGATCATCTCACTCCTCTCGCTTGAAGCGGCGCACACTCGGTCCCCTCCAGACGCGCTACAACCCCCTCCCAGGCACGTCTATTCCCCTTGCAAAACCTATTGTGGACCCCATCCCTGAACCGTGTTCCTCAAATCCGACCATAATTTCGGGCGGCTTTATTCTCAAATTATGTACATACGAATCTATGTTCGGTCTATTCACACAGCTTTGTGTTAGGCTTAAACTCTTTTGTATTTGTTATCCGTCCTACGGTATCTCTGACTGTTCAGTGAGTTCCAAATAATCGGCGCGGATTACTGTCCTCCCTGCAACTCCTAGGGGACGTAAAGTTGGTTTTGGGCATTGAGCCTATGAGTGTATAACACTTCCGAGCTGATTAGATCATGAATTCGTCGCCTGATCGGTCCGTTCTGGGCACCCAGGATGAAGTGGGGACGAGCTCGCCGACAGGTGACGGACCGGCCGCAAGCACAAGCGGCACCAGCCGTCACCTACACAGTTCGCGCCTAGTCATGGTGACCTGTCTCAACGCCACCATGCTCTTCCTGGTCCAGACTGAGATCTTCATCGTCACCACGTCACTGGTCGCGATAGCCGAGGAGCTTGGCAGCTTCGACACGGCGAGCTGGGTTCTAGCTAGCTACTTCCTGGGTTATGTTAGTAAGTGCCTCCCACGTCCTTGGAACGGGAAGGATCAAAACCTCTGTGGCGTTTCCGAATCCTGACGACGACTAGGTTTTGTTGTTATAGTGGCCAAGGCCAGCGACATCTTCGGTCGGAAGCCGGTCTACGTGCTGGCCATCTTCTTGTTTACCGTGTTCTCAGGTGGTTGTGCTGCAGCTCATACTATGACACAACTGTAAGTCGCTACATACGACCTCCAGCTTCGCCCACCATTATGAAGACGACATATAGCTTATGGATTTTACGGTAAAGGATTATCCTGCGCGCCTTTCAGGGCATTGGCGGCGGTGGCAGCTACGCTCTAGCTACTATTTTGACTATTGAGATTGTGCCCCCTGAGAAGTATCCCAACCAGATGACATACATGGGCCTCGCAGTCATGCTGGCCCTGGTCCTAGGACCAATAGCTGGAGGCGGGATCAGCTCTGTAACGACCTGGAGATGGATATTTCTCTTTAACGTGCCAGTTGGCGTTGTGGGCCTTGCCTTAGCCATCGTAGGCATTCCTGCTGGCTTTCCTTACCACCAGGAGCGAGCTCATCCAATCGAACCATCCAATCGACCACGGCCCCTGGAGAGATTGGACATCCCCGGCTCTGTGTTGCTTCTGCTGGCCACCATGTCCATTGTCGCTGCATTTCAGGAAGCAGGCTCGCGGTTCTCATGGGGGTCCGCATATGTCATTACCCTTTTGGTAGTCTCCGTTCTGTTGTGGCTTGCGCTTGTTGTTTGGGAACGTCGCGTGACGCTTGCAGATGCGACCCGTGAGCCCATTCTACCCTGGCGATTCCTCACGAGCCGAGCTATGGTGGGCACACTACTGTGAGATTTCGTTCCCTTCACGCACACGGAACATAGTCTGACAAAAAGCGCTAATCTCTCTGCAAATAGTGGCATAATCCTTCAAGGTGGACCATTGACGGTGACGAACTTACAGCTTCCTCAGAGGTTCCAGCTGGTAGGCGGGCTGTCCAGTTTGGATGCAGGTGTGCGTCTGATACCATTTGGAGTCGGTCTGTCAGCAGGAACGATCCTCAGTGCTGCCATTGCGAAAAGAACGAAGGTTCCAACAATTTACTCAGTCACGCTGGGTGCGATGCTACAAATTATTGGATATGCCCTTTTGGCCACAAGTGGGTCATTCATTGCAATTCCCCCTGAAGTCTATGCATACCAAGTCATCGCTGGGCTCGGGTGCGGTATAAGTTTTCAAGCCCTCATTCTCAACATTCCCCATATTGCTGAGAAACGTGATCATGGTGAGTGAATTTTGTTCTTTGGCCACCCCCTGTCCACAAGATCGCGCGAATAACATGAGCTGACATGACCAAAGCCGTGGGGATGGGAACCGCAAACCAGTTCCGAGCTATCGGCAGCACGGTCTTAGTGGCTATCACGACGGCCCTCTTCAACGGCTTCGTCATTCCACATCTATCAGGGCTTGGAATTTCTGACCCTGCTCAGGTAATTGAATCTTATAATCAAGTAGAAATAGAAATATCACCAGAAGTGTGGCATGAGGCGAAGCACATTTTGTCGGAAGGCTATAGTCGCCAAATGTTTGCCCTTGTTGCTTGCGGTGCCGGACAATTTGCTGTCGCGTTGTTGCTGTGGAATGGGGGAAAATAAAGGGACGAACCAAATAAACACCTTAGGAAAAACTAGCTATAGGTCAACTTGAAGTACAAACTGCAAGCCAGTTGTTTGGCGCCCATATATGTGCACCCTTTCTTTTGACAGCACCAACTGAAACTCGTTTTCAATCTCATCCGCTGTTCCGTCCTTCATTCCATGAAAGTGTGTCACGAGCCGAGCACACAGTATGCAACACGTGCCGTTCGTGGAAGTGAAACATTTCATGCTCCATTCAGATATACGAAGCCAGGGAATTGACGTCCCTATCTTCATGAGTAAACTCAGCATATAAGTTAGTGGTTTCGATAATTTTGTTCTTCCTCCCCGCACATCTCAAGGTGTTCTCGTAAACAGGTGAACAGTTATTGAGATCTACAGATCCTCGTCGGATATAAATTCCAATAACTTGGCCGTTCTTGTGGTATCAATCAAGCCTCAAGCATTCCAGGTGTGGAGGTGTCGGAGATATCTGTTATGATTTGCTCGTCGATGTGGGGCAGTTGTGTCCGATCTCAACAAAGTAGTGGAGCCGGGCGCCTTCATGTGTTTCTCAACAGCAACGGGAGATGTCGCCCTGCGGGACGAGCTGGAAGTTGAAGGTGGCGATGTCCTCCTTGCTGATGCCCTTGTCCTTGCGGATGCTCATGGCCTTGAAGGCCGCGATGAGCTTGGACGTCGTCGCCATCGATGAGCACGCGATCGCGTAAGCGCCGCAGTCTCCAACGCGCCGAAGCCCGTGCCCACCTGGGCAGGCCCTCGTCGAAGCGCCCCGGAGCCGCCGGCTGGCTGCACAGAATCGTCGTTCTCGTCGCCGACTACGGGACCACCTCCAATACCTACGCCCTCACCGAGGCCAAATGGCGGAGACCGAGCGCAGTTGCTGATGAAGAAGAGTACGCCAGGAGACCAGGTCCGTGATCACTTCTGCCATACTTGCGGTATAACTCTATTTCGCACACAAGCCGAAGTAAACCTTTTTCGTCGCTTAAGGTGACACTGTCGCATGACGGGACCATCAAACCTCGAGTTCAACAAATGGAGCATCAAAGGGAGTTGCGGTGGATGTTGTACGGGGGCAAGAGTACTGCCACTAACAGCGCCGAAGACTCTTTCAATGGCCTTAACTCAGTCAAGGCGTAACAAACGTCTTTATGCTCGTTCTTCGTCATAGTATACTTCAAATCAAGGCACTCATCGAAGTCAATTCTTTCTTTGAAACGATCTCGCGGTCAGTCATCCCTGAGGCGCACGGTGTTAACGTATGAGGCACAGTCAACCATTTTGATCGCTGCCTGCGCCTTCCACTCCCATATTGCAAATGGTGGGTAGTCTCAGGAGTCACAAGCGGGTCGTAACTGCTGTTTTTAGAACGTATCGTCGGGGGTTCCAGCAGTAAACAAACCTCCCCTTCCGGCACTGGAGAGAGCTTCAGTTCTCTTTTCTTTTCTTCTGCTCGGCATTCTGAGTGGTATTGGTGCCGCTGCTTGGTTTGCTTTTTTTTTCCGGTGCAATACGTATAGTACGTATTTTTTAGTCATCATTTTACCCTTTCGACTAACCCCCGGCCCATCTCCCATCATGTCGTTCCTGTCGCCTGCCGGCCTGACCAACTTCGGCGTGTTCGCTGTTGTCGCCGGTCTCTGCATTGGCCTGGCTTCCGTGGTGGAAGCGCGCCGTAAGTGACTTTTCATGTTTTCATTAATACTATCGGGATTATACTGTTTTATTCAACGCCGCATATTTGAGGGTTTATCACTGCATGACGAGGCCGTGCGCGCACTCGGGTGTGCGTTTATTAAGAACGAAATGCCCTGAGAACGGATCCCTTTATGTGTGCTAATAGCGTTCGTTAGTCGACCGGCTCGGGCGGGAGGGCCGCGATCGTCGGTGCCTGGGGTTCGCCTGGGTCCTCGCGGTTTGGCTGTGGGTGCTGCGTCGGAGGGCTGCGGCTGTTCACCTCGTTCGGCGCGCCCTCGGCCGGGACGAGGTCCTGGACATCATCGACCTCTACGCCCTCGGTAAGTTGTGTGCCAGATTTGATTCAAACTGGGTTACTCTGACAGGTCATTTCCCAGAGGCCGGTCGTAATCGCCGGCAAGATTAAGGTGCCGGCAAACCTGTTTAAACACCGGAGGGTGGGTAAGGGAGGACCGACGACGATGACGACGACGACATGATGACGAGGAGGACGACGAGGACCTAGAACCCTTCTCTCCAAAACAAAAAAAAAAAAAAAAAAATCCGGCCAACATCTCGAGCCTTGACGGGGCGGTCCGGCTTAACCCCCCATCTGCCGTGCGCAATGGGGGCACCAATCGAGATCGGAGAGCAATACCAACACACTCAGCGGGAGGCATTCTCATCAACTTGAACGGCACGCTCTTCTCGCTTCGGGTTCTAGGTCCTCTCGTCCTGCATAAAACCTTGGCTTTTCCGCATTCTCAGTCGCCAATAATCCTTAATGGAAACATCACTCAGACACCGCCAATAATTAGTCGTCAATAATCAATGATCAGCATCATTAGACTCAGTCAACAACTAATTCAATCGTCCACCACAACCAACATGCACAATCATGCCATCCATGATGCTCTGTAGTGAAATAACCGGCATTCCACGCAGGTGGGGACTCGTGAATAACGTCGATCATTAACAACGCTGAACAAATAACACTCTGTCTTGGGCCTTCCTTTTTTGGGTCTGTTCGTTACATACACAGTCAGCAGATGTTCGTCATTCTTTGAACTTTCATTACTCGATGCTGGGTGGGTTTCTTTTTAAACAAATCTTTTCCCCTCCGCTTCGGTCTTGAATAAAGCCCTCTCGACCATTCATTAAACGCGCATGATCCCTAATCAGGCACGAACGGCACATTCAATCACCAGCATACCGGCATCAGAACCCAGGTAGCGGCCAAAGTGCGCCGTGGTTCAAACCCAATATTTGAAGGCTTTGAGTTGGCGAATTTTGTCTCGCATGCGATTGACATGGCGGAGCTCGTCGTCACCGAGAAGACAATGAACTCGACGAGAGTGCCTGGTAATCAAGTAGCAGCTAAGGAGAGCGCAACTGGCAGGACTAGAAGGGAACTTTCCCGTTCGATGAGCCCTAGCCTTACTGATGGAGTTTAGTGGAGGAAATTAATCTGGCCTTGGAAAGGCTATGGTGAGTCCTGTCCACCTCTAGACTAGATCGAGATTCTGATTAATGCATTTTACGGTAAGATTATGCGCGAAGGAAACAGGTGGTCATCAAAGCACCCGCCTGACAGGAATACTAGGGGACACTATTAACGCCAGCAACACTTCTACCTTTCTATCTAACCGCGTTTAATATTAGTATCCTCTTTTAAATGATGGCCTATTTACTCGACTAATCGAATACTCTCGCCTCTGTCGGCTATGGTTTTATGAATAGACGCCTGGATCGCTCCGGCCTCTTCGTCCATTCTACGGGTATATGAGGCCAAGGCGTTTAATGGAAAGGATGAGAAACGAATAGCTCCCTCCCTGAATTAAGGGGTAAAATATTGCTTTACTGGAGTTAGTTGACTATCTGCGGTAGACAGTTGTAGGCTCCACTGGGAGTCCTATTCGGAGCGAGACCTTGTTTCTACCCACAGTCAAATCTTCCCTAACCACCGTCGAAAAGTATTTTCTGGCTGATATCATGATCCAGAAGGGCCTTACCGCTATCTGTATAAGATGTCTAGCTTTCATTGGCACGTCAGTGGCTGCTTGAGCTACTGCAGTTGTTTCGAGACGCACTGTAAGTCTGTCGGCTCATCTTGTTCCGTATAAAGGTTCTTGTTATTGCTTGAGAGTATTTACACGAACTTACTGCTCCCTCCAGAATGGAGCCCCCCTCCTCCGAAGAACAGCCGCCAACAAGATGTGTGGCAGGTAACTCAGTTACGGGCTAGGGCGTTTAACGGTATCCTTGACGGTTTGTCAGTCACCTACGACACAGACCGGGAACACGCTGCTGGCCGAGCATGATATCGGCGTCAACGACGCTAAATACGAACAGACTACGACGAAGTCGGGAACTATTTCTCAGCTTGTCAAAAAGATCACAGAAGACTACATCGGCCAGCAAGGTATGATGACCATCAGGAACGGCAGTGGGGCCGCAAACACAATCGAGTAGCTGGTTGAGCTCCTCGATGGAGAAACGAAGCCAATGAAAACCCCGGCGCCAATCGCGAAAAGAAGGTCGCAAAATCCTCTGGTGGCGACGGGCGGGCTGGTATCGGTCAACCGCAAGAAGAATGATTGCGCATCATGGTGGGCGAGGTGGGGTTGTAGAGGAGGATGACGAGGATGGGCAATTGCCGTGGGTGGACGAGTTCGGGTGGGTTGTATTGAAGGCTGTGGCAACTTTCTCAGTGGTCGGATCGTCAATGTCCAAGTTCGACTTGCAACCCGACCTCGCAATGTGTGTTTTAAGGAGCATGACGGTATTCTTAAGTAAAAAGGGGTGTAATCCATTCTTAGAATCTCCGGTATATCTTGTCTCTAACTATATCAAATCGAGTATGAATGTCATATAGCTTCAAGAATATAGGTAGAAGAATACATCCTAACCTATAGTGTGTAGAGTAAACTTTCTTGGTGAGTTGACTGCTCATTGCAACATAGGCCTTTCCACCCTAGATTCTAAAATCTTTAATAATAAACCTACTATAGTTAATATTAACGGCCTTAACTAATTATAATAAAATTTTAAGGGTAAGCTTTATATATTAAATAAAATATAGCTTAAAAGTTAATTAATATATTATTATTAAAGATATAATATTAACTATAAATATAAAATATAATTATATAAATACTTATTTTATTTAAAACCTTTATTAAAGTATTACTTATAAAGTATATTATATAAATTATAAGATAGTATTATTAAATAAAATAGAAATTTAAAAGGGTTAAATAGTTTATAAAAGTAATAAGAATTTATTTTCTTTTTTATTATATAATTACTTATTATTTTATTTAAAGATAATTAAATTTATTATAATAATAATAGTTATATAAATAAGAAGGATAATATATAATTATATTATATTATAGTTATATTTTAAAAAGGATTAATTTATATAGTATATAAAGTAAGTTTTATAAGTTAAAGAATTATTTTTTTATTTTAAATATAATAGGAAAGGTAGAAAGAAAAATTAAAAAGATTCTTTATATAAATATTTTTATATAAATATAGTTTTTATAATTTTATTTTTATTTTAAATATAGTTTTATTTTAATTTTATATATATTTAAAATATATATAGTACCTTTATATAATAGTAAGTACTTAAAATTAAATATAGCTTAAAGGAGTAAAATAATTAGTTAATTTATATATAAAGTTATTATTAATAGTTTAGAAACTAAATTTATATTAATAGATTTTAAATATTAAACTATATTTTAAATATTTATAAATTTATAAATAACTTTTAATTAAGTTAAAAGAAATTTATATTAATTACTTTATATAAAGATTTAAAGATATAATAAATAGTATTAATTTTAATTTAAATATAAAATAATAGTTTATAGTAAATTAATTATTATAAATAAAGTTAATAGGTTTATATATATATATAAATTAGGCTTAATTAATAAAATTTAACTAACCTAACTAAGCGCTTTACTACTTATAAATAAACCTTTTAATTATTATTAATTTATACTACTTTAATTATTTTTATATATAAATAAAGTTAATTATTATTAATTAATTATTAATTAACTTCTAATAGTTAAATATAGAAATTATATAAATTATTTAAGTAGTAAGTTCTTTTAAAAATAAATTAATAAAACTATTTTATTATTATAACTAAAAAAGTAAGTTATTTAAATTATTTAAGTATAATTAATTAAATAAAATACTTTTACTAATTAATATTTCTTTCTTTTTTTATTATAATTAATAATATAAACTTATTTATTAAACTTTTAAATTAATATTTAATTATTTATTAATAAATTTATTTATTTATTTATTTAATTTATATTATTTTAATAAACTTTAATTTTTTTTTTTTTTTATTTTTTTATATTATATTTTAATATATTATATAAATAGCTTCTTTAAAGTTTATAAAAACTATTCTTTTAAAATTATTAATATTTTATAATAAATTATTAAAAAATAAAATTATTACTTTATATATTTATTATAAAAGTTTATTAATAATAAACTTTAATAATATAATATAATAATATAATTTTAAACTTTATAATAATAATAAAATAAATAATTTTATATTATATATAATATAAAAAGTTAATAAAAGTTAAATTTTTAAATATTTATTTTATTATATAAAAGTTTTTAATATA